ACCCCATTCCCCTCAACACCCTCCAGGGCCAGGACCAGCTCCCCTTCTCACCCTCCAGGGCCTGGGCTCCACTCCCCATGCTGCCCTCCAGGGCCAAAACCCACTCCACACACTGACCTCCAGGGCCGAGCCCCACTGCCCTCAACATTCTCCAGGATTGGACCCCGCTCCACTCTTCGCCCTCCAGGGCCGGACCCAGCTCCTCACCTTACCTTCTAGGGCCTGCCTCGCGCAGCTCAAAGCCGTCCAGAGCAGGACCCCACTCACCACCTCATCCTCCATGGCCTGGGCCACGCTCCCCTCCTCACCCTCCAGGTCTGGGCCCCACTCCCATGGCAGCCCTCCAGGGTCGTGCCCCACTTCCCTCAGCACCCTATGGGGCTGGACCCTGCTCCCCTCCTCGAGGTCCAAGGCCTGGCCCCACTCCCCACACTGCCCTCCAGGGCCAGGCCCCAATACCCACAATGCCCTCCAGGGCTGGTCCCTGTTCCCCTTCTCGCCCCCCAGGGCCAGGCCCTGCTCCCCTCCTGGCCCTCCAGGGCCTGGTTCCCACACCCACACCCATGTTCACCCTCGTGGACAAAGGCCCCTCTCCAATCCTCACCCTCCAAGGATGTGCCCTGCTCCCCTCCTCACCCTCCAGGGCCTGGGCACTGCCCTCCATGCTGCTCTCCAATGCCGGGCGCATTACCCTCAAGGCCCTCCAGGGCCAGACACTGCTCCCCTCCTTGCCCTCCAGGGCCTGGGCCCACTCACCTCACCCGCTCCAGGGCCAGACCCTGCTCCCCTCCTGGCCGTCCAGGGCCTGGTCCCCCTACCCCTCCTCACCCTCCAGGGCCTGGGCCCTGTTCTGTTCATGCCCTCCAGGTCCAGACCCCAGTGCCCTCAACGCCCTATAGGGCCACACCCTGATCCCTTCCTGGTCCTTCGGGGCCTGAGCCCCAATCCCCCCGCTGCCCTCCAAGGATGGACCCCACTCCCCTCAATGCCCTCCAAAGCTGGACCCCGCTCTCCTCCTAACCCTCCAGGGCTTGGGCTCCTATTTGCACATGACCTCTAGGGCCTGGCCCCAATGCCCTCAACACCACCCAGGGCCAGACCCTACTCCACTCCTTGAGCTCTAGGGCAAGGCACCGCTCACCTCCTCGGCCTGCAGGGCCAGGCCTGCTCCCCTCCTCGCCCCCCAGAGCCAGGTCCTGCTCCCTTCAGGTGCGTCCCTGGTCTCCATCCAGGGCCAGACCCGCTCCCTACTTGCCTGTCACGACCTGGGCCCGACTCCCACTGCTGCCCTCTAGTGCCGGGCCCCACTGCCCTCATCACCCTCCTGGGTCGGGTCTGTTCCCCTCCTCGCCCTCCTGGGTGGGGTCCTGCTTTCCTTCTCGCCCCCCAGTGCCAATGCCTGCTCCCCTCCTCGTGCTCCAGGTCCTGGGCCTGCTCCACTGCTTTTCCTCCTGGGTCGGGTCCTGCTCCCCTCCTCGCCCTCCAGGGCCTGGGCCACCTCCCTTCGCAGCCCTCCATGGCTGGGCCCACTGCCCTCAACGCCCTCTAGAGCCAGACCCTGCTCTACTCCTCGCCCTCCAGGGCCTGGGCGCTTCTCCCCACGCTGCTCTCCAGGGCCGGGCCCCAATGCCCTCCTCGCCCCCCAGGGCCAGTGCCTGCTCTCCTCCTGCCCCCCTGGGCCTCGGCCTACTCCCCACGCTGCCCACCAAAGCCAAGACCCACTGCCCTCAGCACCTTGTAGGACTGGACCTGCTCCACTCCTAGATCTCCAGGGATTGCACCCCACTCCCCACGCTGCCCTGCAGGGCCCGGACCCACTCCCTTCAACACCCTCCTGGGCCAGAACCAGCTCCTCTCCTCACCCTCCAGGGCCTGGGCTCCGCTCCCCACGCTGCCCTCCAGGGCCAAAATCCACTCCACACACTGCCCTCCAGGGCCGGGCCCCACTGCCCTCAATGCCCTCCAGGGTTGGAGCCTGCTCCACTCTTTGCCCTCCAGGGCTGGGCCCGGCTCCCCACCTTACCTTCCAGGACCTGCCCTTCACTGCTCAAAGCCGTCCAGAGCAGGACCCCACTCACCACCTCATCCCCCGTGGCTGGGGCCACGCTCCCCTCCTCACCCTCCAGGTCTGGGCCCCACTCCCATGGCAGCCCTCCAGGGTCGTGCCCCACTTCCCTCATCACCCTATAGGGCCGGACCCTGTTCCCCTCCTCGAGCTCCAGGGCCAGGCCCCACTCCCCACACTGCCCTCCAGGGCCAGGGCCCACTCCCCACACTGCCCTACAGGGCTAGGCCCCAAACCGTCAACGCCCTACAGGGCTGGTCCCTGTTCCCCTTCTCGCCCCCAAGGGCCAGGCCCTGCTCCCCTCCTGGCCCTCCAGGGCCTGGTTCCCACACCCACACCCCTGCTCACCCTCGTGGACAAAGGCCCCACTCCAATCCTCACCTTCCAAGGCCGGGCTCTGCTCCCCTCCTCACCCTCCAGGGCCTGGGCCCTGCCACCTCTCGCTACTCTCCAGGGCCGGGCCCCACTACCCTCAAGGCCCTCCAGGGCCGGCGACTGCTCCCCTCCTCACCCTCCAGGGCCTGGACCCACTCACCTCACCCCCCTCCAGGGCCTGGTCCCTGCACCCCTCCTCGCCCTCCAGAGCCTGGGCCCTGCTCTGTTCATGCCCTCCAGGTCCAGACCCCAGTGCCCTCAACGCCCTATAGGGCCACATCCTGATCCCTTCCTGACCCTTCAGGGCCTGAGACCTGCTCCCCCCACTGCCCTCCAAGGCTGGACCCCACTCCCCTCAGTGCCCTATAGTGTAGGACCCTGCTGTCTTCCTCGCCCTCCAGGGCTTGGGCTCCTATCTGCACACAGCCCGCTAGGTCCTGGCCCCACTGCCCTCAACACCACCCAGGACCAGACCCCTCTCCACTGCTCGCCCTCCTGGGCCGGTCTCTGCTGCACTCCTTGGCCTCCAAGGCTGGGCCCAACTCCACACGCTGCCCTCCATGGCCTAGGGCCTGCTCCACTCCTCACCCTCCTGGGCTGGATCCAGCTCCCCTCCTTGCCTATCAAGGCCGAGCCCTGCCCTGCTCAAAGCCCTCCAGAGCTGACCCCTCTCTCCGCCTCATTCTCACGGCTCTGGGACCTGCTCTACTCCTTGTACTCCAAGCCTGGTTCCTGCTCCCATCCTAGCCCTCCACGGTCGGGCCCACTGCCATCTACACCATATAGGGCCAGACCCTACTGCACTCCTAGACCTCCAGGGATTGGACTCCACTCCCCAGGCTGCCCTGGAGGGCCAGGCCACACTCCTCTCAACACCTTCCAGGGCCAGACCCCACTCCCTTCCTCACTCTCTAGGGCCGGGCCCCACTCCCCTCCTCACCACCCAGGGCCAGGGCTTGCTCTCCTCCTTGGACTCCAGGACTGGGCCTCGCAACCTCCTTGCCCTCCTGGTTTCAGCCCTGCTCCCCTCAGGCATGGCCATGGCCACCTTCCCGGGCTCAGCCCCCCTCCCCTCCTTGCCCTGCAGGATCGTGCCCTGTTCCCCTCAAGCAGTTGCTGGCCTGTTCCAGGGCGAGTCCCACTCCACTCCTTGCCCTCCTGGGTCGGGTCCTGCTCCCCTTCTTACCCTCCTGGGTCGGATCCTGCTCCCCTGTCGCCCTCCTGGGTCGGGTCCTGCTCCCCTCCTCACCCTCCTGGGTCAGGTCCTGTTCTGCTCCTCGCACCCCAGTGCCAATGCCTGCTCCCCTCCTCGCCCTCCAGGGCCTGGGCCCTGCTTTACTGCTTGTCCTCCTGGTACGGGTCCTGCTCCCCTACTCACCCTCATGGGCCTGGGGCCCCTCCCATCGCAGCCATCCATGGATGGGCTCACTGCCCTCAACGCCCTCTAGAGTCAGACCCTGCTCCACTCCTCAGCATACTGGGTCTGGGCGCTTCTCCCCAGGCTGCTCTCCAAGGCAGGGCCCCAATGCCCTCCTCGCCCCCCAGGGCCAGTGCCTGCTCTCCTCCTGCCCCCCAGGGCCTCGGCCTACTCCTCACGCTGCCCACCAAGGCCAAGACCCTCTGCCCTCAGCACTTTGTAGGACTGGACCTGCTCCACTCCTAGATCCAGGGATTGCACTCTACTCCCCACGCTGCCCTTCAGGGCCCGGCCCAACTCCCCTCAACACCCTCCAGGGCCTGCCCCGCACAGCTCAAAGCCGTCCAGAGCAGGACCCCACTCACCACCTCATCCCCCGTGGCCTGGGCCACGCGCCCTCCTCACCCTCCAGGTCTGGGCCCCACTCCCATGGCAGCCCTCCAGGGTCGTGCCCCACTTCCCTCAGCACCCTATAGGGCTGGACCCTGCTCCCCTCCTTGAACTTCAGGCCAGGCCCCACTCCCCACACTGCCCTCCAGGGCCAGGCCCCAATACCCTCAATGCCCTCCAAGGCTGGTCCCTGTTCCCCTTCTCGCCCCCCAGGGCCAGGCCCTGCTCCCCTCCTGGCCGTCCAGACCTGGTCCCCGCACCCCTCCTCGCCCTCCAGGGCATGGGCCATGCTCTGTTCAATGCCCTCCAGGTCCAGACCCCAGTGCCCTCAACGCCCTATAGGGCCACACCCTGGTCCCTTCCTGGCCCTTCAGGGCCTGAGCCCTGCTCCCCTGACTGCCCTCCAAGGCTGGACCCCACTCCCCTCAATGCCCTCCAAAGCTGGACCCCGCTCTCCTCCTCGCCCTCCAGGGCTTGGGTTCTTATCTGCACACGGCCCTCTAGGGCCTGGCCCCACTGTCCTCAACACCCTATAGGGCCAGAACCTGCTGCACTCCTAGACCTCCAGGGATTGGACTCCACTCCCCATGCTGCCCTGGAGGGCCAGGCCACACTCCTCTCAGCACCCTCCAGGGCCAGAACCCACTCTCCTCCTCACCACCCAGTGCCAGGGCCTGCTCTCCTCCTCACACTCCAGGGCTGGGCCTCGCACCTCTCCTTGCCCTCCTGGGTTCAGCCCTGCTCCCCTCAACCATGGCCATGGCCACCTTCTCTGGCTCAGCCCCCCTCCCCTCCTTGCCCTGCAGGATCGGGCCCTGCTCCCCTCAAGCAGTTGCTGGCCTATTCCAGGGCGAGTCCCACTCCAATCCTGGCCCTCCAGGCCTGGGCTCCCCTCCCCTCCTCACCCTCCAGGCCTCGGCCCATCTCCTCATGCTGCCCTCCAGGGCCAAGTCCTACTCCCCACACTGCCCTCCAGGCCCAGGCCCCGCTTCCCTCACCACACTCCAAGGCTGGGCCCTGCTCCCGACCTTGCAATCCAAGATCAGACCCCTCCTCACCCTTCAGGGCCTGGGCCCTGCTCCGCACACTGCTCTCCAGGGCCATGCCCCGCTCCCCTCCTCCTCCTCAAGGGCCTGGGCTGCTGTGCTCGCTGCCCTCCAGGGCCAGACTCCAAACCCCTCCTCACCCTCCAGGGCCTTGACCCATTCCCCTCCTAGCCCCCAGGGCCAGTGCCTCTTCTCCTCCTCACCCTCCAAGGTCAGGTTCTGCTCCCCTCCTTGCCCTCCAGGTCCTGGCCCCACTCCCCACGCTGCTCTGCAGGGCCGGGCCCCACTGCCTTTAACACCCTCCAGGGCCAAGCCCTGTACCCCTCCTTACCCTCCAGGGCTTGGGCAAGGCTCCTCACGCTGCCCTCCAAGGCTGGGCCCCACTACCCTCAACACCCTCCAGGACCAGACCCTGCTCCACTCCTCGAGCTCCAGGGCAAGACACCGCTCGCCTCCTCGCCCTGCAGGGCCGGGCCTGCTCCCCTCCCCGCCCCCCAGAGCCAGGTCCTGCTCCCATCAGTTGTGTCCCTGGTCTCCATCCAGGGCCAGGCCTGCTCCCTACTTGTCTGTCATTGCCTGTGCCCGGCTCCCATTGCTGCCCACTAGGGCCAGGCCCCGCTCCCCTCCTCACCCTCCATGGCCAGGCCTCGCTCCCCTCCTTGCCTTCCAGTGCCAATGCCTGCTCCCCACCTCGGCCTCCAGAGCCAGGCCCTGCTCCCCTTAGATTGTTCCTGGCCTCCCTCCAGGGCTACACCCTGTTCCCCACTTGCCTTTCACGGCCTGGGCCTGACTCTCAATTCTGCCCTCTAGGGCTTTCCCCGCTGCCCTCCTCGCCCTCCAGTGCTGGGCCCTGCTCCACTCCTTGCCCTCCTGGATCAGGTCCAGCTCCCCTCCTCGCCATCCTTGATCGGGTCCTGCTCCCCTCCTCGCCCTCCTTGATCGGGTCCTGCTCTCCTCCTCGACCCCTGTGCCAATGCCGGCTCCCCTCCTTGCCCTCTAGGGCCTTGGCCCCACTCCACTGCTTGTGCTCATTGGTCGGGTCCTGCTCCCCTCCTCACCCTCATGGGCCTGGGCCCCCTCCCATCGCAGCCCTCCATGGCCGTCCCACTGCCCTCAATGCCCTCTAGAGCCAGACCCTGCTCCACTCTTCGCCCACAAGGCCTGGGAGGTTCTCCCCATGCTGCTCTGCAGGGCCGGGCCACAATGCCCTCCTCGTCCCCCAGGGCCAGTGCCTGCTCTCATCCTTGCCCCCCAGGGCCTCAGCCTACTCTCCACACTGCCCACCAAAGCCAAGACCCACTGCCCTCAGCACCTTGTAGGACTGGACCTGCTCCACTCCTAGATCTCCAGGGATTGCACTCCACTCCCCACGCTGCCCTCCAGGGCCCGACCCCACTCCCCTCAACACCCTCCAGGGCCAGGACCAGCTCCCCTTCTCACCCTCCAGGGCCTGGGCTCTGCTCCCCACGCTGCCCTCCAGGGCCAAAACCCACTCCACACACTGACCTCCAGGGCCGAGCCCCACTGCCCTCAACATTCTCCAGGATTGGACCCCGCTTCACACTTCGCCCTCCAGGGCCGACTCAGCTCCCCACCTTACCTTCTAGGGCCTGCCCCGCACTGTTCAAAGCCGTCCAGAGCAGGACCCCACTCACCACCTCATCCCCCATGGCCTGGGCCACGCTCCCCTCCTCACCCTCCAGGTCTGGGCCCCACTCCCATGGCAGCCCTCCAGGGTCGAGCCCCACTTCCCTCAGCACCCTATCGTGCTGGACCCTGCTCCCCTCCCCTCCTCGAGCTCCAGGGCCAGGCCCCACTCCCCACACTGCCCTCCAGGGCCAGGCCCCAAACCGTCAACGCCCTCCAGGGCTGGTCCCTGTTCCCCTTCTCGCCCCCCAGGGCCAGGCCCTGCTCCCCTCCTGGCCCTCCAGGGCCTGGTTCCCACACCCACAGCCCTGCTCACCCTCGTGGACAAAGGCCCCTCTCCAATCCTCACCCTCCAAGGCCGGGCTCTGCTCCCCTCCTCACCCTCCAGGGCCTGGCCCCTGCCACCTCTCGCTACTCTCCAGGGCCGGGCCCCACTACCCTCAAGGCCCTCCAGGGCCGGCGACTGCTCCCCTCCTCACCCTCCAGGGCCTGGACCCACTCACCTCACCCCCCTCCAAGGCCAGACCCTGCTCCCCTTAGATTGTTCCTGGCCTCCTTCCAGGGCCACACCCTGCTCCCCACTTGCCTTTCACAGCCTGGGCCCAACTCCCACTGCTGCCCTCTAGTGCCGGGCCCCACTGCCCTCATCGCCCTCCTGGGATGGGCCCTGCTCCACTCCTCCCCCTTTTGAGTCGTGTCCTGCTCCCCTCCTCGCCCTCCAGGGCCTGGGCCCTGCTTTACTGCTTGTGCTCCTGGGTCGGGTCCTGCTCCCCTCCTCACCCTCCAGGGCCTGGGGCCCCTCCCATCGCAGCCCTCCATGGCCGGGCCCACTGCCCTCAATGCCCTCTAGAGCCAGACCCTGCTCCACTCCTCGCCATCCTGGGCCTGGGCTCTTCTCCCCACGTTGCTCTCCAGGGCCGGGCCCCAATGCCCTCTTCGCCCCCCAGGGCCAGTGCCTGCTTTCCACCTTGTCCCCCAGGGCTTCTCCCTACTCCCCACGCTGCCCACCAAGGCCAAGACCCACTGCCCTCAGCACCTTGTAGGACTGGACCTGCTCCACTCCTAGATCTCCAGGGATTGCACTCCACTCCCCACGCTGCCCTCCAGGGCCCGGCCCCACTCCCCTCAACACCCTCCAGGGCCAGGACCAGCTCCCCTCCTTACCCTCCAGGGCCTGGGCTCCGCTCCCCATGCTGCCCTCCAGGGCCAAAACCCACTCCACACACTGACCTCCAGGGCCGGGCTCCACTGCGCTCAACACCCTCCAGGGTTGGATCCCGCTCCACTCTTCACCCTCCAGGGCCGGGCCCAGCTACTCACCTTACCTTCCAGGGCCTGCCCCGCACTGCTCAAAGCCGTCCAGAGCAGGACCCCACTCACCACCTCATCCCCCGTGGCCCTGGCCACGCTCCCCTCCTCACCCTCCAGGTCTGGGCTCCACTCCCATAGCAACCATCCAGGGTCGTGCCCCACTACCCTCAACACCCTAGAGGGCCAGACCCTGCTCCCCTCCTCGAGCTCCAGGGCCAGGCCCCACTCCCCACACTGCCCTGCAGGGCCAGGCCCCAATACCGCCTACGCCCTCCAGGGCTGGTCCCTGTTCCCCTTCTCGCCCTCCAGGGCCAGGCCCTGCTCCCCTCCTGGCCTCCAGGTCCTGGTTCCCACACCCACACCCTTGCTGACCCTCGTGTACAAAAGCCCCACTCCAATCCTCACCCTCCAAGGCCAGGCCCTGATCCTCTCCTCACCCTCAAGGGCCTGAGCCCTGCCACCCCACGCTGCTCTCCAGGGCCGGGCCCCACTACGCTCAAGGCCCTCCAGGGCCGGACACTGCTCCCCTCCTCACCCTCCAGCGCCTGGACCCACTCACCTCACCCCCCTCCAGGGCCACACCCTGCTCCCCTCCTAGCTGTCCAGGGCCTAGTCCCCCCACCCCTCCTTACCCTCCAGGGCCTGGGCCCTGCTCTTTTCAATGCCCTCCAGGTCTAGACCCCAGTGCCCTCAACGCCCTATAAGGCCACACCCTCATCCCTTCCTGACCCTTCAGAGCCTGAGCCCCGCTCCCCCCACTGCCCTCCAAGGCTGGACCCCACTCCCCTCAATGCCCTCCAAAGCTGGACCCTGCTGTCTTCCTCATCCTCCAGGGCTTGGGCTCCAATCTGCACACGGCCCTCTAGGTCCTGGCCCCACTGCCCTCAACACCATCCAGGGTCGGACCCCACTCCACTGCTCGCCCTCCTGGGCCGGTCTCTGCTGCACTCCTTGGCCTCCAAGGCTGGGCCCAACTCCACACGCTGCCCTCCATGGCCTGGGGCCTGCTCCACTCCTCACCCTCCTGGGCTGGATCCAGCTCCCCTCCTTGCCTATCAAGGCCGAGCCCTGCCCTGCTCAAAGCCCTCCAGAGCTGACCCCTCTCTCTTCCTCGTCCTCCCAGCTCTGGGACCTGCTCTACTCGGTGCCCTCCAAGCCTGGTCCCTGCTCCCATCCCAGCCCTCCACAGTCAGACCCACTGCCATCAACACCCTATAGGGCCGGACCCTGCTGCAGTCCAAACCTCCAGGGCTTAGACTTCACTCTCCATGCTGCCCTCTAGGGCCAGGCCACACTCCTCTCAACACCCTCCAGGGCCAGACCCCACTCCCCCTCCTCACTCTCTAGGCCCGGGCTCCATTCCTCTCCTCACCACCCAGGGCCAGGGCCTGCTCTCCTCCTCACCCTCCTGGGTCGGGTCCTGCTCCCCTCCTCGCCCTCCTGGGTCGGGTCCTGCTCACCTCTCGCAACCCAGTGCCAATGCCTGCTTCCATCCTCGCCCTCCAGGGCCTGGGCCCCACTCCACTGCTTGTCCTCCTGGGTCAGGTCCTGCTCCCTACCTCGCCCTCCAGGGCCTGGGCCACCTACCATCGCAGCCCTCCATGGCCGTGCCCACTGCCCTCAATGCCCTCTAGAGCCTGACCCTGCTGTACTCATCGCCCTAAGTGCCAGTGCCTGCTCTCCTCCTTGCCCCCCAGGGCCTTGGCCTACTCGCAACGCTGCCCACCAAGGCCAAGACCACTGCCCTCAGCACCTTGTAGGACTGGACCCTCTCCACTCCTAGATCTCCAGGGATTGCACTCCACTCCCCACGCTGCCCTTCAGGGCCCAGCCTCACTCCCCTCCTCACCCTCCAGGGCCTGGGTTCCACTCCCCATGCTGCCCTCCAGGGCCAAAACCCACTCCACACACTGACCTCCAGGGCCGGGCCCCACTGTCCTCAACGCCCTCCAGGGTTGGACCCCGCTCCACTCTTCGCCCTCCAGGACCAGGCCGGGCTAAGCTCCTCAGCCTCCAGGGCCTGCCCCGCACTGCTCAAAGCCGTCCAGAGCAGGACCCCACTCACCACCTCATCCACCATGGCCTGGGCCACGCGCCCTCCTCACCCTCCAGGTCTGGGCCCCACTCCCATGGCAGCCCTCCAGGGTCATGCCCAACTTCCCTCAACACCCTATAGGGCCAGACCTGCTCCCCTCCTCGAGCTCCAGACTAGGCCCCACTACCCACACTGCCCTCCATGGCCGGGCCCCAATACCCTCAACGCCCTCCAGGGCTGGTCCCTGTTCCCCTTCTCGCCCCCCAGGGCCAGGCCCTGCTCCCCTCCTGGCCGTCCAGACCTGGTCCCCGCACCCCTCCTCGCCCTCCAGAGCATGGGCCCTGCTCTGTTCAATGCCCTCCAGGTCCAGACCCCAGTGCCCTCAACGCCCTATAAGGCCACACCCTGTTCCCTTCCTGGACCTTCAGGGCCTGAGTCCAATCCCCCCGCTGCCCTCCAAGGTTGGACCCCACTCCCCTCAGTGCCCTCCAAAGCTGGATCCCGCTCTCCTCCTCGCCCTCCAGGGCTTGGGTTCTTATCTGCACATGGCCCTCTAGGTCCTAGCCCCACTGCCCTCAACACAACCCAGGGCCGGATCCCACTCCACTGCTCGCCTTCCTGGGCTGGGCTCTGCTGCACAACTTGGCCTTCTGGGCTGGACCCAGCTCCCCTCAGGCATGGCCTTGGGCAACCTCCAGGGCTGGGGCTCACTCCCATACTTGCCCTGCAGGGTCGGGCCCTGCTTCCCTGAGGTATGGCCATGGCCACACTCCAGCGCCAGTCCCCATGCCCCACGCTGCCCTCCACGGCCAGAACCCACTGCCCTCAACGCCCTCCATGGCCTGGGGCCTGCTCCACTCCTCACCCTCCAGGGCCGGACCCAACTCCCCTCCTTGCCCTTCAGGGCTGAGCCCTGCCCTGCTCAAAGCCTTCCAGAGCTGACCCCTCTCTCCTCGTCCTCCCGGCTCTGGGACCTGCTCTACTCCTTGTTCTCCAAGCCTGGTCCCTGCTCCCATCCCAGCCCTCCACAGTTGGACCCACGGCCATCAACACCCTGTAGGGCCAGAGCCTGCTGCACTCCTAGACCTCCAGGGATTGGACTCCACTCCCCATGCTGCCCTGGAGGGCCAGGCCACACTCCTCTAAACACCCTCCAGGACCAGAGCCCGCTCCCCTCCTCACTCTCTAGGGCCGGGCCCCACTCCCCTCCTCACCACCCAGGGCCAGGGCCTGCTCTCCTCCTCACACTCCAGGGCTGGGCCTCGCACCCCTGCTTGCCCTCCTGGGTTCAGCCCTGAAGGGTTCAGCTCCCCTGAAGCATGGCCATGTCCACCTTCTCTGGCTCAGCACCCCTCCCCTCCTTGCCCTGTAGGATTGGGCCCTGATCCCCTCAAGCAGTTGCTGGCCTATTCCAGGGCGAGTCCCACTCCAATCCTGGCCCTCCAGGCCTGGGCCCCCCTCCCCTACTCACCCTCCAGGCCTGGGTCCATCTCCTCATGCTGCCCTCCAGGGCCAAGTCCTACTCCCCACACTGCCCTCTAGGCCCAGGCCCCGCTCCTCTCACCACACTCCAAGGCTGGGCCCTGCTCCCGACCTCGCAATCCAAGAACAGACCCTTCCTCACCCTTCAGGGCCTGGGCCCTGCTCCGCACACTGCTCTCCAGGGCCGGGCCCCGCGCCCCTCCTCGTCCTCAAGGGCCTGGGCTGCTGTGCTTGCTGCCCTCCAGGGCCAGACTCCATACCCCTCCTCACCCTCCAAGGCCTTGACCCATTCCCCTCCTAGCACCTAGGGCCAGTGTGTCTTCACCTCCTCACCCTCCAAGGTCAGGTTCTTCTCCCCTAATGCCCTCCAGGGCCTGGCCCCACTCCCCACGCTGCCCTGCAGGGCCGGGCCCCACTGCCTTTAACACCCTCCAGGGCCAAGCCCTGTACCCCTCCTCACCCTCCAGTACTTGGGCCCAGCTCCTCACGCTGCCCTCCAGGGCTGGGCCCCACTACCCTGAACACCCTCCAGGACCAACCCTGCTCCACTCTTCGAGCTCCAGGGCAAGACACCGCTCGCCTCCTCGCCCTGCAGGGCCGGGCCTGCTCCCCTCCCCACACCCCAGAGCCAGGTCCTGCTCCCGTCAGGTGCGTCCCTGGTCTCCATCCAGGGCCAGACCCGCTCCCTTCTTGCCTGTCATGGCCTTGGCCCGGCTCCCATTGCTGCCTACCAGGGCCAGGCCCCGCTCCCCTCCTCACCCTCCATGGCCAGGCCTCGCTCCCTCCTTGCCTTCCAGTGCCAATGCCTGCTCCCCTCCTCGGCCTCCAGAGCCAGGTCCTGCTCCCCTTAGATTGTTCCTGGCCTCCGTCCAGGGCTACACCCTGTTCCCCACTTGCCTTTCATGGCCTGGGCCTGACTCTCAATTCTGCCCTCTAGGGCTTTCCCCGCTGCCCTCCTCGCCCTCCAGTGCTGGGCCCTGCTCCACTCCTCGCCCACCAGTGCCAGTGCCTGCTCCCCTCCTCGCCCTCCAGGGCCTGGGCCCCCTCCCATCACAGCCCTCCATGGCCGTCCCTCTGCCCTCAACGCCCTCTAGAACCTGACCCTGCTGCACTACTCGCCCTCCAGGGCCTGGGCGCTTCTCCCCTTGCTGCTCTGCAGGGCCGGGCCCCAATGCCCTCCTCGCCGCCCAGGGCCAGTGCCTGCTCTCCTCCTTGCCCCACAGGGCCTCGGCCTACTCCCCACACTGCCCACCAAGGCCAAGACCCACTGCCCTCAGCACCTTGTAGGACTGGACCTGCTCCACTCCTAGGTCTCCAGGGATTGCACTCCACTCCCCACGCTGCCCTCCAGGGCCCGACCCCACTCCCCTCAACACCCTCCAGGGCCAGGACCAGCTTCCTCTCCTCACCCTCCAGGACCGGGCTCGGCTCCCCACCTTACCTTCCAGGACCTGCCCTTCACTGCTCAAAGCCGTCCAGAACAGGACTCCACTCACCACCTCATCCCCCATGGCCTGGGCCACACTCCCCTCCTCACCCTCCAGGTCTGGGCCCCACTCCCATGGCAGCCCTCCAGGGTTGTGCTCCACTTCCCTCAACACCCTATAGGGCCGGACCCTGCTCCCCTCCTCGAGGTCCAGGGCCAGTCCCCACTCCCCACACTGCCCTCCAGAACCAGGCCCTAATACCCTCAATGCCCTCCAGGGCTGGACCCTGTTCCCCTTCTTGCACTCCAGGCCAGACCCTGCTCCCCTCCTGGCGGTCCAGGGCCTGGTCCCAGCACCCAGCCTCGCCCTCCAGGGCATGGGCCCTGTTCTTTTCAATGCCCTCCAGGTCTATACCCCAGTGCCCTCAACGCCCTATAGGTCCACACCCTGATCCCTTCCTGGCCCTTCAGGGCCTGAGCCCCGCTCCCCCCACTGCCCTCCAAGGCTGGACCCCGCTCTCCTCATCTTCCTCCAGGGCTTGGGCTCCTATCTGCACATGGCCCTCTAAGGCCTGGCCCCACTGCCCTCAACACCACCCAGGGCCGGAACACTCTCCACTGCTCGCCCTCCTGGGCCGGGCTCTGCTGCACACCTTGGACTCCAGGGCTGGGCCCAGCTCCCCTCATGCATGGCCTTGGCCAACCTCCAGGGCTGGGGCTTTCTCCCATACTTCCCCTGCAGGGTCGGGCCCTGATCCCCTGAGGTATGGTCATGGCCACACTTCAGCGCCAGTCCCCACTCCCCACACTTCCCTCCAGAGCCAGACCCCACTCCCCTCCTCACCACCCAGGGTCAGGACTTGCTCTCCTCCTCACACTCTAGGACTGGGCCTCGCACCCCTCCTTGCCCTCCTGGGTTCAGCCCTGCTCCCCTCAGGCATGGCCATGGCCACCTTCCCGGGCTCAGCCCCCCTCCCCTCCTTGCCCTGCAGGATCGGGCCCTGCTCCCCTCAAGCAGTTGCTGGCCTATTCCAGGGCGACTCCCACTCCAATCCTGGCCCTCCAGGCCTGGGCCCCCGTCCCCTCCTCACCTTCCAGGCCCAGGCCCATCTCCTCATGCTGCCCTCCAGGGCCAAGTCCTACTCCCCACACTGCCCTCCAGGGCCAGGCCCCGCTCCCCTCACCACACTCCAAGGCTGGGCCCTGCTCCCGACCTCGCAATCCAAGATCAGACCCCTCCTCACCCTTCAGGGCCTGAGCCCTGCCCCCCACACTGCACTCCAGGGCCGGGCCCCGCTCCCCACCTCGTCCTCAAGGGCCTGGGTATGCTCTGCTCACTGCCCTCCAGGGCCGGACCCCAAACCCCTCCTCACCCTCCAGGGCCTTGACCCCATTCCCCTCCTAGCCCCCAGGGCCAGTGCCTCTTCTCCTCACCCTCCAAGGTCAGGTTCTGCTCCCTTCCTTGCCCTCCAGGGCCTGGCCCCACTCCCCACGCTGCCCTGCAGGGCCGGGCCCCACTGCCTTTAACACCCTCCAGGGCCAAGCTCTGTACCCCTCCTCACCCTCCAGGACTTGGGCCCAGCTCCTCACGCTGCCCTCCAGGGTTGGGCCCCACTACCCTCAACACCCTCCAGGACCAGACCCTGCTCCACTCCTTGAGCTCCAGGGCAAGACACCGCTCGCCTCCTCGCCCTGCAGGGCCGGGCCTGCTCCTCTCCCCGCCCCCCAGAGCCAGGTCCTGCTCTGGTCAGGTGCGTCCCTGGTCTCCATCCAGGGCCAGACCCACTCCCTACTTGCCTGTCATGGCCTGGCCCTGGCTCCCATTGCTGCCCACTAGGGCCAGGCCCCGCTCCCCTCCTCACCCTCCAAGGCCAGGCCTTGCTCCCCTCCTTGCCTTCCAGTGCCAATGCCTGCTCCCCTCCTCGCCCTCCAGAGCCAGGCCCTGCTCCCCTTAGCTTGTTCCTGGCCTCCTTCCAGGGCCACACCCTGCTCCCCACTTTCCTTTCACGGCCTGGGCCAGACTCCCACTGTTGCCCTCCCAGGCTTAGCTTAGCTGCCTTCCTCGCCCTCCAGTGCTGGGCCCTGCTCCACTCCTTGCCCTCCTGGATCAGGTCCTGCTCCCCTCCTCGCCCTCTAGGGCCTGGGCCCCACTCCACTGCTTGTCCTCCTGGGTTTGGTCCTGCTCCCCTCCTGCCCTCCAGGGCCTGGGCCCCCTCCCATCACAGCCCTCCATGGCTGTTCCTCTGCCCTCAACGCCCTCTAGAGCCAGACCTGCTCCACTCCTCGCCCTCCAGGGCCTGGGCTCTTCTCCCCATGCTGCTCTCCAGGGCCGGGCCCCAATGCTCTCCTCGCCCCCCAGGGCCAATGCCTGCTTTCCACCTTGTCCCCCAGGGCCTCGGCCTACTCCCCATGCTGCCCACCAAGGCCAAGACCCTCTGCCCTCAGCACCTTGTAGGACTGGACCTGCTCCACTCCTAGATCTCCAGGGATTGCACCCCACTCCCCACGCTGCCTCCAGGGCCTGGCCCCACTCCCCTCAACACCCTCCAGGGCAGGACCAGCTCCCCTCCTCACCCTCCAGGGCCTGGGCTCCGCTCCCCACGCTGCCCTCCTTGGTCAAAATCCACTCCACACACTGCCCTCCAGGCCCAGGCCCCAATACCCTCAACGCCCTCCAGGATTGGTCCCTGTTTCCCTTCTTGCCCCCAAGGGCAAGGCCCTGCTCCCCTCCTGGCCCTCCAGGGCCTGGTTCCCACACCCACACCCCTACTCACCCTCGTGGACAAGGGCCCCTCTCCAATCCTCACCCTCCAAGGCCGGGCTCTGCTCCCCTGCTCACCATTCAGACCCTGGGCCCACTCACCTCACCCCACTCCAGGGCCAGACCCTGCTCCCATCCTGGCCGTCTAGGGCCTGGTCCCCGCACCCCTCCTCGCCCTCCATGGCATGGGCTCTGCTCTGTTCAATGCCCTCCAGGTCCAGACCCCAATGCCCTCAACGCCCTATAGGTCCACACCCTGATCCCTTCCTGGCCCTTCAGGGCCTGAGCCCCACTCCCCCCGCTGCCCTCCAAGGCTGGAACCCACTCCCCTCAATGCCCTGCAAAGCTGGACCCCACTCTCCTCCTCACACTCCAGGGCTTGGGCTCCTATCTGCACACGGCCCTCTAGATCCTGGCCCCACTGCCCTCAACACCACCCAGGGCCGGACCCCTCTCCACTGCTCACCCTCCTAGGCCGGGCACCGCTGCACTCCTTGGCCTCCAGGGCTGGGCCCAGCTCCCCTCAGGCATGGCCTTGGACAACCTCTGGGGTTGGGGCTCTCTCCCATACTTGCCCTGCAGGGTCGGGCCCTGCTTCCCTGAGGTATGGCCATGGCCACACTCCAGCGCCAGTCCCCATGCCCCACGCTGCCCTCCACGGCCAGACCCCACTGCCCTCAACGCCCTCCATGGCCTGGGGCCTGCTCCACTCCTCACCCTCCTGGGCCGGACCCAACTCCCCTCCTTGCCCTTCAGGGCTGAGCCCTGCCCTGCTCAAAGCCCTCCAGAGCTGACCCCTCTCTCCTCCTCGTCCTCACGGCTCTGGGACCTGCTCTACTCCTTGTTCTCCAAGCCTGGGCCCTGCTCCCATCCCAGCCCTCCACAGTCAGACCCACTGCCATCAACACCCTATAGGGCCGGACCCTGCTGCACTCCAAAACTCCAGGGCTTAGACTCCACTCCCCAGGCTGCCCTGGAGGGCCAGGCCATACTCCTCTCAACACCCTCCAGGGCCAGACCCCACACCCCCTCCTCACTCTCTAGGCCCGGGCTCCACTCCCCTCCTCACCACCCAGGGCCAGGGCCTACTCTCCTCCTCACCTTCCTGGGTCCGGTCCTGCTCCCCTCCTCACCCTCCTGGGTCGGGTCCTGCTCGCCTCTCGCCCCCCAGTGCCAATGCCTGCTTCCCTCCTCGCCCTCCAGGGCCTGGGCAGCACTCCACTGCTTGTCCTCCTGGGTCAGGTCCTGCTCCCTTCCTCGCCCTCCTGGGCCCCCTCCCATCGCAGCCCTCCATGGCCGTGCCCACTGCCCTCAATGCCCTCTAGAGCCTGACCCTGCTGTACTCATCGCCCTAAGTGCCAGTGTCTGCTCTCCTCCTTGCCCCCCAGGGTCTCGGCCTACTCCCCACGCTGCCCACCAAGGCCAAGACCACTGCCCTCAGCACCTGGTAGGACTGGACCTGCTCCACTCCTAGATCTCCAGGGATTGGACTCCAATCCCCATGCTGCCCTGGAGGGCCAGGCCACACTCCTCTAAACACGCTCCAGGACCAGACCCCGCTCCCCTCCTCACTCTCTAGGGCCAGACCCCGCTCCCCTCCTCACCACCCAGGGCCAGGGCCTGCTATTCTCCTCATACTCCAGGGCTGGGCTTCGCTCCCCTCCTTGCCCTCATGGGTTCAGCCCTGCTCCCCTCAACCATGGCCATGGCCACATTCCAGGGCTCAGCCCCGCCCCCTCCTTGCCCTGCAGGATCGGGCCCTGCTCCCCTCAAGTAGTTGCTGGCCTATTCCAGGGCGAGTCCCCACTCCAATCCAGGCCCTCCAGGCCTGGGTCCCCCTCCCCTCCTCACCTTCCAGGTCTGGGCCCATCTCCTCATGCAGCCCTCCAGGGACAAGTCCTACCCCCACACTATCCTCCAGTGCCAGGCCCCGCTCCCCTCACCACACTCCAAGGCTGGGCCCTGCTCCCGACCTCGCAATCCAAGGTCAGACCTGGCTCTCCTTCTCAACCTTCAGGGTCAGGTTCTGCTCCCCTCCTTGCCCTCCAGGGCCTGGCCCCACTCCCCACGCTGCCCTGCAGGGCCGGGCCCCACTGCCTTTAACACCCTCCAGGGCCAAGCCCTGTACCCCTCCTCACCCTCCAGGGCTTGGGCCCAGCTCCTCACGCTGCCCTCCAGGGCTGGGCCCCACTACCCTCAACACCCTCCAGGACCAGACCCTGCTCCACTCCTCGAGCTCCAGGGCAAGACACCGCTAACCTCCTCGCCCTGCAGGGCCGGGCCTGCTTCTCTCCCCGCCCCCCAGAGCCAGGTCCTGCTCTCGTCAGGTATGTCCCTGGTCTCCATCTAGGGCCAGACCCGCTCCCTACTTGCCTGTCATGGCCTGGCCCTGGCTCCCATTGCTGCCCACTAGGGCCAGGCCCCGCTCCCCTCCTCACCCTCCATGGCCAGGCCTCGCTCCCTCCTTGCCTTCCAGTGCCAATGCCTGCTCCCCACCTCGGCCTCCAGAGCCAGGTCCTGCTCCCCTTAGATTGTTCCTGGCCTCCTTCCAGGGCTACACCCTGTTCCCCACTTGCCTTTCACAGCCTGGGCCCAACTCTCAATTCTGCCCTCTAGGGCTTTCACGCTCTGCTCCTTGCCCTCCAGTGCTGGGCCCTGCTCCACTCCTTGCCCTCCTTGGTCGGGTCCTGCTCCCCTCCTCACCCTCCTGGGTCGGGTCCTGCTCCCCTCCTCGCCCACCAGTGCCAGTGCCTGTTCCCCTCCTCGCCCTCTAGGGCCTGGGCCCCCTCCCATCGCAGCCCTCCATGGCTGCCCTTCTGCCCTCAACGCCCTCTAGAGCCTGACCCTGCTCCACTCCTCGCCCTCCAGGGCCTGGGCTCTTCTCCCCATGCTGCTCTGCAGGGCCGGGCCACAATGCCCTCCTCGCCCCCCAGGGCCAGTGCCTGCTCTCCTCCTTGCCCCCCACGGCCTCGGCCTACTCCCCACGCTGCCCACCAAGGCCAAGACCCACTGCCCTCAGCACCTTGTAGGACTGGACCTGCTCCACTCCTAGATCTCCAGGAATTGCACTCCACTCCCCACGCTGCCCTCCAGGGCCCGACCCCACTCCCCTCAATACCCTCCAGGGCCAGGACCAGCTCCCCTCCTCACCCTCCAGGGCCTGGGCTCTGCTCCCCACGCTGCCCTCCAGGGCCAAAACCCACTCCACACACTGACCTCCAGGGCCAGGCTCCATTGCCCTCAACGCCCTCCAGGATTGGACCCCGCTCCACTCTTCGCCCTCCAGGTCCGGGCCCGGCTCCCCACCTTACCTTCCAGGGCCTGCCCCGCACTGCTCAAACCCGTCCATTGCAGGACCCCACTCACCACCTCATCCCCCGTGGCCTGGGCCATGCTCCCCTCCTCACTCTCCAGGTCTGGGCCCCACTCCCATGGCAGCCCTCCAGGGTCGTGCCCCACTTCCCTCAGCACCCTATAGGGCTGGACCCTGCTCCCCTCCTCGAGCTCCAGGGCCAGGCCCCACTCCCCACACTGCCCTCCAGGCCCAGGCCCCAATACCCTCAACGCCCTCCAGGGCTGGTCTCTGTTCCCCTTCTTGCCCCCCTGGGCCAGGCCCTGCTCCCCTCCTGGCCTCCAGGGCCTGGTTCCCACACCCACACCCCTGCTCACCCTCGTGGACAAGGGCCCCTCTCCCATCTTCACACTCCAAGGCTGGGCCCTGCTCCCCTCCTCACCCTCCAGGGCCTGGGCGCTGCCCCCCATGCTGCTCTCCAGGGCCGGGCCCCACTATCCTCAAGGCCCTCCCGGCCCGGACACTGCTCCCCTCCTTGCCCTCCAGGGCCTGGACCCACTCACCTCACCCCCCTCCAAGGCCAGACACTGTTCCCTTCCTAGCTGTCCAGGGCCTGGTCCTCCTACCCCTCCTCGCCCTCCAGGGCCTGGGACCTGCTCTGTTCATGCCCTCCAGTTCCTGTTCCCAGTGCCCTCAGCGCCCTATAGGGCCACACCCTGATCCCTTCCTGACACTTCAGGGCCTGAGCCCTGCTCCCCCCGCTTCCCTCCAAGGCTGGACCCCACTCCCCTCAGTGCCCTCCAGTGCAGGACCCTGCTGTCTTCCTCGCCCTTGGGCTTGGGCTCCTATCTGCACATGGCCCTCTAAGGACGGGCCCGACTGCCCTCAACACCACCCAGGGCCGGATCCCACTCCACTCCTCACCCTCCTGGGCCGGACCCAGCTCCCCTCCTTGCCCTTCAGGGCTGAGCCCTGCCCTGCTCAAAGCCCTCCAGAGCTGAACCCTCTCTCCTCCTCGTCCTCCCGGCTCTGGGACCTGCTCTACTCCTTGCCCTCCAAGCCTGGTCCCGCTCCCATTCCAGCCCTCCACGGTCGGACAAACTGCCATCTACACCCTATAGGGCCAGACCCTGCTGCACTCCTAGACCTCCAGGGATTGGACTCCACTCCCCATGCTGCCCTGGAGGGCCAGGCCACACTCCTCTAAAGACCCTCAGGGCCAGACCTCCTCACTCTCTAGGGCCGGGCCCCACTCCCCTCCTCACCACCCAGGGCCAGGGCCTGCTCTCCTTCTCACACTCAGGGCTGGGCCTCGCACCCCTCCTTGCCCTCCTGGGTTCAGCCCTGCTCCCCTCAGGCATGGCCATGGCCACCTTCTCTGGCTCAGCACCCCTCCCCTTCTTGCCCTGCAGGATCGGGCCCTGATCCCCTCAAGCAGTTGCTGGCCTATTCCAGGGCAAGGCCCCACTCCAATCCTGGTCCTCCAAGCCTGGGCCCCCCTCCCCTCCTCACCCTCCAGGCCTGGGCCCATCTCCTCATGCTGCCCCCCAGGGCCAAGTACTACTCCCCACACTGCCTTCCAGGGCCAGGCCCCACTCCCCTCACCACACTCCAAGGCTGGGCCCTGCTCCCGACCTCGCAATCCAAGGTCAGACCTCGGTCCTCTCCTCACCCTCCAAGGTCAGGTTCTGCTCCCCTCCTTGCCCTCCAGGGCCTGGCCACACTCCCCACGCTGCCCTGCAGGGCCGGGCCCCACTGCCTTTAACACCCACCAGGGCCAAGCCCTGTACCCCTCCTCACCCTCCAGGGCTTGGGCCCAGCCCCTCACACTGCCCTCCAGGGCTGGGCCCCACTACCCTCAACACCCTCCAGGACCAGACCCTGCTCCACTCCTCGAGCTCCAGGGCAAGACACCACTCGCCGCCTCGCCCTGCAGGGCCGGGCCTGCTTCTCTCCCCGCCCCCCAGAGTCAGGTCCTGTCCCATCAGGTATGTCCCTGGTCTCCATCCAGGGCCAGACCTGCTCCCTGCTTGCCTGTCATGGCCTGGGCCCTGGCTCCCATTGCTGCCCACTAGGGCCAGGCCCCGCTCCCCTCCTCACCCTCCAAGGCCAGGCCTTGCTCCCCTCCTTGCCTTCCAGTGCCAATGCCTGCTCCCCTCCTCGCCCTCCAGAGCCAGGCCCTGCTCCCCTTAGATTGTTCTGGCTTCCTTCCAGGGCCACACCCTGCTCTCCCACTTGCCTTTTATGGCCTGGGCCCGACTCCCACTGCTGCCCTCTAGTGTCGGGCCCCACTGCCCTCATCGCCCTCCAGGCTGGGCCCTGCTCCACTCCTCGCCCTCCTCTCTCAGGTCCTGCTCTCTTCCTCGATCCCCAGTGCCAATGCCTGCTCCCCTCCTCGCCCTCCAGTGCCTGGGCCCCCTCCCATCGCAGCCCTCCATGGCTGGGCCCACTGCCCTCAACGCCCTCTAGAGCCAGACCCTGCTCCACTCCTCGCCCTCCAGGGCCTGGGCGCTTCTCCCCATGCTGCTCTGCAGGGCCGGGCCCCAATGCCCTCCTCGCCGCCCAGGGCCAGTGCCTGCTCTCCTCCTTGCCCCCCACGGCCTCGGCCTACTCCCCACGCTGCCCACCAAGGCCAAGACCCACTGCCCTCAGCACCTTGTAGGACTGGACCTGCTCCACTCCTAGATCTCCAGGGATTGCACTCCACTCCCCACGCTGCCCTCCAGGGCCCGGCCCCACTCCCCTCAACACCCTCCAGGGCCAGGACCAGCTCCCCTCCTCACCCTCCAGGGCCTGGGCTCCGCTCCCCATGCTGCCCTCCAGGGCCAAAACCCACTCCACACACTGACCTCCAGGGCCGGGCCCCACTGCCCTCAATGCCCTCCAGGGTTGGACCCTGCTCCATCTTTGCCCTCCAGGGCCGGGCTCGGCTCCCCACCTTACCTTCCAGGGACTGCCCCAAGCCATCCAAAGCAGGACCCCACTCACCACCTCATCTCCCATGGCCTGGGCCACACTCCACACCTCACCCTCCAGGGCCTGCCCCGCACTACTCAAAGCCGTCCAGAGCAGGACCCCACTCACCAACTCATCCCCCATGGCCTGGGCCCCACTCCCCACCTCACCCTCCAGGGCCTGCCCCGCACTGCTCAATTCGTCCAGAGGAGGACCCCACTCACCAACTCATCCCCCATGGCCTGGGCCATGCTGCCCTCCTCACCCTCCAGGTCTGGGCCCCACTCCCATGCCAGCCCTCCAGGGTCATGCCCCACTTCCCTCAAGACCCTATAGGGCTGGACCCTGCTCCCCTCCTCAAGCTCCAGGGCCAGGCCCCACTCCCCAGACTGCCCTCAAGGCCCAGGCTCCAATACCCTCAATGGCCTCCAGGGCTTGTCCCTGTTCCCCTTCTTGCCCCCCAGGGCCAGGCCCTGCTCCCCTCCTGGCCCTCCAGGGCCTGGTTCCCACACCTACACCCCTGGTCACCCTCATGGACAAGGGCCCTACTCCCATCCTAGCCCTCCAAGTCCGGGCCCTGCTCCCCTCCTCACCCTCCAGGGCCTGGGCCCTGTCACCTGACGCTGCTCTCCAGGGCTGGGCCCCACTACCCTCAAGGCCCTCCAGGCCCAGACACTGCTGCCCTCCTTGCCCTCCAGGGTTGGACCCACTCACCTCACCCCCCTCCAGGGCCAGACCCTGTTCCCCTCCTGGCCGTCCAGGGCCTGGTCCCCGCACCCCTCTCTCCCTCCAGGGCCTGGGCCCTGCTCTTTTCAATGCCCTCCAGGTCCAGACCCCAGTGCCCTCAGCTCCCTTAGGGCCATACCCTGATCCCTTCCTGGCCCTTCAGGGCCTGAGCCCCACTATCTCCGCTGCCCTCCAAGGCTGGAACCAACTCCCCTCAATGCCCACCAAAGCTGGAACTCACTCTCCTCCTCACCCCCCAGGGCTTGGGCTCCTATCTGCACACGGCCCTCTAGGGCCTGGCCCCACTGCCCTCAACACCACCCAGGGCCGAACCCCACTCCAAGGCCTGCTCTCCTAGGCTGGGCTCTGCTGCACTCCTTGGCCTCCTGGGATGGGCCCAGCTCCCCTCAGGCATGGCCTTGTCCAACCTCCAGGGCTGGGGCTCACTCCCATACTTGCCCTGCAGGGTCAGGCCCTGCTCTGCTGAGGTATGGCCATGGCCACACTCCAGCGCCAGTCCCCACTACCCACGCTGCCCTCCAGGGCCAGACCCCACCACCCTCAATGCCCTCCATGGCCTGGGGCCTGCTCCACTCCTCACCCCCCTGGGCCAGACCCAGCTCCCCTCCTTGCCCTTCAGGGCTGAGCCCTGCCCTGCTCAAAGCCCTCCAGAGCTGACCCCCCTCTCCTCGTCCTCCCGGCTCTGGGACCTGCTCTACTCCTTGCCCTCCAAGCCTGGTCCCTGCTCCCCTCCCAGCCCTCCACGGTCGGGCCCACTGCCATCAACACCCTATAGGGCCAGACCCTGCTGCACTCCTAGACCTCCAGGATTGGACTCCACTCCCCATGCTGCCTTGGAGGGCCAGGCCACACTCCTCTCAACACCCTCCAGGGCCAGACCCCGCTCCCCTCCTCACTCTCTAGGGCCGGGCCCCACTCCCCTCCTCACCACCCAGGGCCAGGGCCTGCTCTCCTCCTCACACTCCAGGGCAGGGCCCTGGCCAACTCCCAGCAATGGACCCTTCTCTCCATGCGATACTGAGCAGGGCCTGGCTCCCCTTGGGCACTGAATTAGCCACCCATGAGTTCTGGGCCCCACTCCTCTCCTTGCCCACCCGGGCCTGCGCCCAGCACCCATTGCTGCCCTCCAGGGCCACACCCCACTCCCCTCACCAACCTCCAGGGATGGACCCCGCTCCCCTCTTTGCCTTCCAGGGCCTGGGTTCAGCTCCCCACACTGCCCTCCAGGGCCGGTACCCACTCCTCTCCCTGAGTGCCTCATTCTCCCATGCTTGGTAGCTGCCTGTCCCGGGGAGTACAGGCTGGTCCTCCATGTGGTTTGAACGTGCAAGTCCCTCCTGTTCTTCAAACCTGTCCTGTGTACGTGCACGGCACTAACTGATTTGCATTTATGATCTCATTTCATCCCACCAGGAGCCCTGTCATCACTGGATCGTCTTTCTCTGTGCAACCTGGCTCCTACTACCTCTCTGCCTTGTTAGGGACAACCTTCTCCTCCCCCCACCTCTGGTTCACCCTCCCTCCTGTGCCCTCTGTCCCGAGCCTCCATGGTCCTCCATATTCCTTGTCCCAATCATCTGGACGACTCCAACGTATCTCTGGGGGTCTCCGTGTAAGTCACTGCCCCGGGGAACATGCTGGGTGGCACGTTGGATCCTCCTGTGGCTGTGACAAGCTCCCTCCTGTTGTCTCCTTCATGTATTGTACCTTGTGTTTTTCTTTTATTTGACAGGTAGAGATATAGACAATGAGAGAGAGAGAGAGAGAGAGAGAGAGAGAGAAAGAGAGAGAGAGAAAGAGAGAGAGAAAGAGAGAGAGAGAAAGAGAGAGAGAGAGAGAGAGAGAGAGAGAGAGGTCTTCCTTTCATTGGTTCACTCCCCAAATGGCTGCTATTGCCGGTGCTGAACCAATCTGAAGCCAGGAGCCAGGTGCTTCTTCCTGGTCTCCCATGTGGGTGCAGCAGCCCAAACACTTGCACTGCCTTCCTGGGCCACAGCAGAGAGCTGGACTGGAAGCCGAGCAACTGGGACTAGAACCCGGCACCCATATGGGATGCCAGCACCACAGGCGGAGGATTAACCAAGTGAGCCACAGTGCCGGCCTGTACCTTGTGTCTTGTAATGACCCATTCTTCAGCTAGACGGTAAGGTCTAGAAGGTGTAGTTTTTCTTTCTTTTATACTCATCTCTTCGTGTAGTCCCTCGTGTATGGGGATGAGAGTCAGGCTCTAGCAGAAGCTCATGTCATATTAGTTAATGTATAATCAAGGCTACACCCAGGCCCCCAAGTTCTCACTCATGGGTCCTGTCTAGGCCCCACCCACTGATGCGGCCAGAGGCCACCTGGAAAGCAACACCTCGAAGAACACGACTGCCTGCTGGGAGCAGCTGTTCCGCCCAGGTCCAGGGGAGAATCTTGCGGTTGTACTGGAAGCATCAGGATGCATCCATTTTACAGGCTCCTAGGAAGCAGGAAGAGGAGGGCCTTAGAGATGCCCCTTTCCACCCACTCCCAGCCTGCCCAGGAAGGAGCCACAGGAAGGCTACAGCAAGGCCACGTAAGTGCGGCAGCTCAAAGTGGGCACTCAGCATGAAAGCCAGGAGAACAGGAGGCACCGCTTGGAGGACCCACATGGTGCTGCAAACCAGGCCCCTCCGTAGACACCACTGCCTGCCTCCTGACTCAGCCCTTGGATGAGGATGAACAGTCGCTGAAGACACTTCCAGAGAATTTTGTGGTTGAGAACTGAAACTGCTCTTTTGACCTGACAACAGAGGAACAACCCGATACCCAAGGGAAGGAGACTGGACGATGAGGGACACTCGCGGAGAGGGTGGCAGCACACATGGTGCTCAGAGTCTCTGGCCCCAAACCCCTGGCTCAGCTGACACTTTCTTGTTGAGAAAAATAAAGCAGAGGAAAAGAGATAATATTGCGGGGAATTGAGCCTTTTATTCTGTAACAGGGTTAGTTCCAGAAAGGTCTCTGCACCTTGGACAATCTCTGCTTTGATTTTGAAACATTGCTCATGGCTCAGTAAGGTCTGAACAGTGAGGCTGTGAGCATGAACTGGCCTTTGTCCTTTGTCCTATAACCTATGTCCTGTAGCCCGTGTCCTATGTCCTGTATCCTGCGTCCTGTAGCCTGTGTCCTATGTCCTGTGTCCTGTATTCTGTAGTCTGTGTCCTATGTCCAGTAGCTGTGGCCTTTGTCCTGTGGCTAGTGTGCTGTATGCTGTGCCGACTTCCTGTGTCCTGTAGCCAGTGTCCTCGTCCTTTAACCTGTTCATATAGCATGTAGCCTGTGTCCTTTACCCTTGTCCTGTGTCCTGTAGCTTGTGTCATATGTTGTTTAGCCTTTGTCCTGTCTCCTGTGTCCTGTGGCCTGTGAACTATATCCTGTAGCCTGTAACCTGTGCCCCGTAGCCTATGTCCTGTGTTCGGTATTCTGTGTCCTATGTCCTGTGTCATCTGGGCTATGTCCTGTGTCCTGTAGCCTGTGGCCTCTGTGCAGTAGCCTGTGTCCTGTGGACTATGTCCTGTGTCTTGAGTCCTGTAGCCTGTGTATTCTGTCCTGTGTTCTGGGTTCTGTAGCCTGTGTATTGTGCCTGGTAGTCTATGACATAAGTCACAGGACACATGTTCAGGACAGAGGTCACAGGCTACAGGACACAGGAAAGGACTCAGGCTGAAGGACACAGGACACAGGCTACAGGACACAGGACATAGCCCAGACGACACAGGACACAGGATATAGGACACAGAATATGGAACCCAGGACACAGCCTAGAGGACACAGGTTGCAGGACACAGGACATAGGCGACAAGCTACAGGACACAGGACAGAGGCTACAGGAGACAGGACACAGGCTACACAATCTAGGACACAGGCCACAGGACAGTGGCTACAGGACACAGGCTACAGGACACTCTATCCTATAGCCAGTGTCTGGTGTCTTGTTCCCTCTTTCATTCAGCCTGTGTCATGTAGCCTATGTTCTGTGTCATGTAGCCTGCGGCCTGTATCCTTTGTTCTGTAGCTCTGTCCCGTGTCCCACAGCCTCTGTCCTGGAGCCTCTGTCCTGTGTCCTGTGTCCTGTGTTGTGTAGCCTGTGTGCTGTGTCTTGTACCCTGTGGCCTATGTACACATCCTAAATCTTGTGGCCTCTGTCCTCTAGCTGGTGTCCTGTGTCCCCTAGCCTGTGTCCTGTGTCCTGAGCCTGTGGCCTTTAGTCTTTGTCCTAGCTGGATTCCCCTTTGCTGTAGTCTGTGTCCTGTGTCCTGAACCTGGTTTCTTGTAGCCTGTGGACAATGCCCTGTAGTGTGTGTCCTGCGTCCTGTAGCCTGTTCTCTGAGCTCTGGTTCCTAGGTCCTGTGGCCTGCAGCCTGTGTCCTGTAGCCTTTGTCCTATATCATGTAGCCTGTGTCCTGTAGTCTGTGGCCTCTGTCCTCTGGCCTATACACTGCAGCATGTGTCCTTTGTCCTCAAGACTATGTCCTGTGTCCTGTAGCCTGTGACCTTTACCCTGCAGCCTTTGTCCTGTGTCCTGTGGCCTCTAACCTATAGCCGGTGGCCTGTTTCTTGTTCCCCTTTTCCTTCAGTCTGTATCGTGTAGCCTGTGTCCTGTGTCGTGTGTCCTGTGTCGTGTGTCCTGTGTTGTGTATCCTGGGTCATGTATCCTGTGTCCTGTAGTCTGTATCCTTTAACCAGTGTCCTTTAATCTTGCCCTGTGTCCTCTGTTGTGTATCCTGTGTCCTGTAGTCAGTCTCCTGTAGCCTGTGGCCTATGCCATCAGCCTTTGTCCTGTACCTGTGGCCTCTGTCCAAAACTTGTGTCCTGTATCTTTTTTCCTGTGTCCTTCAGCCTGTGTCATGTAGCCTGCATCCTCTGTCTTGTAGCCTGTGGCTTATGTATACATTGAGTATCCTGCATCCTGTGTCCTGTGCCCTGTATCTTGTATCCTGTGTTCTATATCCTGTGGTCTATGGTGTGTAACCTATGTCCCATAGCCTGTGTCCTGGGTTCTGTGTTCTGTGTCTTGTATCCTGTGTCCTGTATCCTCTGGCTTATGCCCTGAATGCTGTAGCTTGTGTTCTATCTTGTGTAGCCTGTGTCCTGTAGCCTGTGTGCTGTAGCCTGTGTCCATGTCCTCTACCCTGTGTCCTGTGTTCTGTAGTCTGTGTCCTATATTCTGTAGCTGTTGCATCCAGCGACCAAACTGGGACTAGAACCCAGGGTGCTGCCGCTGCAGGTGGAGGATTACCCTAGTGAGCCACGGTGCCAGCCCACAATAAATTATAAAAGAAAAAGGAAACAGACCAGGAGTCTCACCAGTGCCAGAAGACTTCCTGCAGGCAGCAGGAGAGGGCGTAACAGATGAGTGAATGGGGCTGTGGTGAGCTCGGGGCTCGGGGGCCGTGCTGTCGTGAGAGCACAGCACAGGGACAGTGTGTCCCGAGAGCACAGTGCTGGGGGCCGTGGTGAGCTGGGGGCCATGGAGGAGCACAGTGCAGGGAGCCGTGGTGAGCTGGGGGCCATGGAGGAGCACAGTGCAGGGAGCCGTGGTGAGCTGGGGGCCATGGAGGAGCACAGTGCAGGGGACGTGGTGAGCTGGGGGCCATGGAGAGCACAGTGCTGGGGCAGTGGTGAGCTCGGGCCTGTGGTGTCCTAAGAGCGCAGTGTAGGGGACAGCTCACCACGGCCACAGAACTCACTGTCACCCTCTACAATGAGATCCCGCGGGCCAGACCCCAGGCAGGGATAGAACACCTCTGGAGAACCCGACTAGCCCTATGAGAAGCCCAGACAGGGACCACAGGGCCTTCCTTAAGGCCTGGGCAGACAACCAACCGAAGGCAGATCCACACGCACCTCCCGGACAGCCAGCTCAGAGCGGGGTGGGAGGCGATGTTTGCTGAATCACAGCAGGGCCCGAGGCGGGGGCTCAAGTCCTCATGTCCCTGCCTCCCACCCCAGACCAGGTGGAGCTCCCGGCTCCCAGCTGCTGTGGGTGTTCGGGAGTGAGCCAGTGAACGGAGCTATCTCTTTCACTCTTTCCAATAAATAAAAAGAAAGCTAAAAAAATGAAACCAACCCCCTACAATAACACACACACACACACAGGACACTCTGTGTGGCATCAGGGTTCCACGTTGCATCTGCTGGGTCGCTCTCAGGAAACCGGCCATCCCCCCCTCCCCAGGGAACCAGGGGTGCAGCCCTGCACCTGCTCCCGACTCTTCCCAGGGTAGCGTCTGCAGTTCCCGTTCATGGGCTCACCCACCACCACGTCTGCCTCTGCCACTTCTCACCAGGATGGGGTTGTGACACAGCGGGCTCACCGGGACCCGGGCATCCTGGCCCTCATCCGGGAGCCTAGGCCACACTCCCCTCCTCCTCTTCCAGGGCATGGGCCCCTCTCCCATCCCAGCCCTCCAGGGCTGGGCCCCACTACCCTCAGTGCCATCTGTATAGGGCCAGACCCTGTACCACTCCTCATCCTCCTGGGCCTAGCCCTGCTCCCCATTTTGCCCTCCAGGGCCAGGCCCTGCTCTTCTCAAAGCCCTCCAGAGCTGGACGCCAATCTCCTCCTCACCCTCCAGGGTCTGAGCCCCACGGCCTCCTCGCCCTCCAGGGCCTGGGCCCCCTCCCATCACATCCCTCCAGGGCCGGGCCCCCTCCCATCATATCCCTCCAGGGCCAGGCCCCACTGCCCTCAACACCCTATAGGGCCAGACCCTGCTCCCCTCCTAGACCTCCAGGGCCTGGGCTCTGCTCCAATCCTCACTCTCCAGGGCCTGTATCCCACACCCCTCCTCGTCCTCCAGGGCCTGGGCCCAACTCCCTCCTTGCCCTCCAGGGCCATACCTCACACCCCACACTGCCCTCCAGGGCCAGGCCCCACTGCCCTCAATACCCTATAGGGCCAGACCCTGCTCCCCTCCTAGACCTCCAGGGCCTGGGCTCTGCTCAACTTGCACCCCTCCAGGGCCTGGTCACCACTCCAATCCTCACTCTCCAGGGCCTGTACCCGACTCCAATCCTCATCCTCCAGGGCCTGGGCTCAACTCCCCACGCTGCACACCAGGGCCATACCTCACACCCCACACTGCCCTCCAGGGCTGGGCCCAATACTCCCAAAGCCCTCCAGGGATGAACCCTGCTCCCCTCCTCACCCTCCAGGGCCTGGGCCCCACTCTCTCCTCACCCTTCATGTCCTGGGGCCCCTCCCATTGCAACCCCCATTTTCGGGCCCTACTGCCCTCAACACCCTATTGGGCCAGACCCTGCTCCCCTCCTAGACCTACAGGGCCTGGGCCCCACTCCAATACTCACTCTTCAGGGCCTAGGCCCCACTCCCTCCTCACCCTCCAGGACATGGGCCCCACTCCAATCCTCTCCCTCCAGGGCTGGGCCCCACTCCAATTCTCTCTATCCAGGGCTCGGTCCTGCTCCTGAAACGCAATCCAAGTTCAGACCCCGCTCCCCTCATGACCATTCAGGGCCTGGGCCCTGCCCCCAACATGGCTCTCCAGGGCTGGGCCCCACTATCCTCAAGGCCCCCCAGGGCCAGACACTGCCTCCCTCCTTGCCCTCCAGGGCCTGGGCATGCTCTGCTCGCTGCCCTCCAGGGCTAGACACTGCTTCCCCTCCTGGCCTTCCGGGGCTGGACCCCACTGCCCTCAAGGCCCTCCAGGGCTGGATCCTGCTCCACTCCTAGACCTCCAGGGATTGGATTCCACTCCCCACACTGCCATCCATGGTCCAGCCCCACTCCCCTCAACGCCATCCAGGGCCGGACCCCACACCCCTCCTCACCCTCCAGGGCCTTGGCCCCATTCCCCTCCTTGCCCTCCAAGCCCAGTGCCTGCTCTCCTCCTCACACTCCAGGGTTGACCTGACACTTTCTTGTTGAGAAAAATAAAGCAGAGGAAAACAGACAATATTGCAGGGAACCGAACCTTTTATTCTGTAACAGGGTTAGATCCAGAAAGGTCTCTGGACCTTGGACAATCTCTGCTTTGATTTGGAAACATTTCTCATGGCTTGGTGAGGTCTCAAGAGTGAGGATGTAGCATGAAGTGGCCTTTGTCCTTTGTCCTATAGACTGTGTCCTTTCGCGTATGTCCTATGTCTTGTGTCCTGTAGGTCCACGGTCCAGAGACCTTTCTAAAACTAACCCTGTTACAGAATAAAAGGTTCGGTTCCCCGCAATATTATCTCTTTTCCTCTGCTTTATTTTTCTCAACAAGAAAGTGTCAATTCAACCAGTGGTGGGTGAGGAGGAGAGCACGCACTGGCCTTTGTCCTTTGTCCTATAGACTATGTCCTTTCACCTATGTACTACGTCTTGTGTCCTGTAGCCTCTGTCCTGCATCCTGTGTCCTGTGTCCTGTGGCCTCTGTCCTATAGCCTCTGTCCTGTGTCATCTTTCCTGTGTCCTGCAACCTGTGTCATGTAGTCTGCATCCTCTGTGTTGTAGTCTGCGGCCTATGTATGCATTGAGTATCCTGTGTCCTGTGTCCTGTAGCCTCTGTCCTGCATCCTGTGTCCTGTGTCCTATGTCTTGAATCCTGTGTTCTATATCCTGTGGCCTGTAGCGTGTAACCTACGTCCCGTAGCCTGTGTACTACCCTGTGTTTTTGGTTCTGTATTCTGTGTCCTATATCCTGTGTCCTGTGTCGTCTGGGCTATGTCCTGTGTCCTGTAGCGTGTGGCCCTTCTGCTGTAGCCTGTGTCCTGTGGCCTATATCCTGTGTCTTAAGTCCTATTAACTCTGTCTTAGGTCTTGTTTCTGGAACCTGTAGCCTGTGTATTGTGTCCGGTAGTCTGTGACATAAGTCACAGGACAGAGGCCACAGGCTACAGGACAGAGGCCACAGGCTACAGGCTACAGGACACAGGACATAGCCCAGACGACACAGGACACAGGATATAGGACACAGAATATGGAACCCAGGACACAGCCTAGAGGACACAGGCTACAGGACACAGGTTGCAGGACACAGGACAAAGCCAACAAGCTACAGGACACAGGACAGAGGCTACAGGATACAGGGCCCAGGCCACAGGACAGTGGCTACAGGACACAGGCTACAGGAAACTCTATCCTATACCCAGTGTCCGCTGTCTTGTTCGCTCTTTCCATCAGCCTGTGTCGTGTAGCCTGTGTCAGTGTCCTGTAGCTTGTGGCCTGTATCCTTTGTTCTGTAGTTATGTCCTGTGTCCCACAGCCTCTGTCCTGGAGCCTCTGTCCTGTGTCCTGTGTCCTGTGTTGTGTAGCCTGTGTGCTGTGTCTTGTACCCTGTGGCCTATGTACACATCCTGAATCTTGTGGCCTCTGTCCTCTAGCTGGTGTCCTATGTCCCCTAGCCTGTGTCCTGAGCCTGTGGCCTGTAGTTTTTGTCCTAGTGTGGTGTCCTCTTTGCTGTACTCTGTGTCCTGTGTCCTGAAGCCCATTTCTTGTAGCCTGTAGACAATGTCCCGTAGTCTGTGTCCTGTGTCCTGTAGCCTGTTCTCTGAGCTCTGGGGCCTAGGTCCTGTAGCCTGTATCCTGTGACATTTGTCCTATGTCCTGTAGCCTGTGTCCTGTAATCTATGGCCACTGTCCTGTGGTCTATATCCTGTAGCCTGTGGCCTTTACCCTGCAGCCTTTGTCCTGTTTCCTGTGGCCTCTGTCCTATAGCTGGTGTCCTGTGTCTTGTTCCCTCTTTCCTTCAGCCTGTGTCATGTAGCTTGTGTCCTGTGTCGAGTGTGCTGTGTCCTGTAGCCTGTGTCCTTTAGCCTGTAGTCTATATCCTTCAACCAGTGTCCTGTAATCTGTGCCCTCTGTCCTATGTTGTGTATCCTGTGTCCTGTAGCCTGGCTCCTGTAGCCTGTGGACTATGCCATGCAGCCTTTTCCTATGTCCTGTGTCCTGTGGCCTCTGTCCTATAGCCTGTGTCCTGTGACTTGTTTCCTGTGTCCTTCAGCCTGTATGGCCTGCATCCTCTGTCTTGTAGCCTGTGGCCTATGTATGCATTGAGTATTCTGTGTCCTGTGTCCTGTAGCCTCTGTCCTGCATCCTGTGTCCTGTGTCCTATGTCTTGTATCCTGTGTTCTAAATCCTGTGGCCTCTAGCGTGTAACCTATGTCCCGTAGCCTGTGTCCTGTGTTCTGTGTTCTGTGTCCTGTATCCTGTGTCCTCTATCCTCTGGCCTATGCCCTGAATGCTGTAGCTTGTGTTCTATCTTGTGTAGCCTGTGTCCTGTAGCCTGTGTGCTGCAGGTGTGTTCATGTCCTCAACCCTGTGTCCTGTGTTCTGTAGTCTGTGTCTGATATCCTGTAGCTGTGGCCGTTGTCCTGTGGCCAGTGTGCTGTACATTTTGGCCTCTGTGCTTTGTCCTGTAGCCAGTGTCCTCGTCATTTAGCCTTTATCATGTGTCCTGTAGCCTGTGTCCTGTGTCCTGAGTCCTGTAGCCTGTCCCTGTGTCTTTTATCCTGTGTCCTGTGTCCTATATTGTTTAGCCTCTGTCCTGTCTCCTGTAGCCTGTAACCTGTGTCCCATAGCCTGTGTCCTGTGTTCCGTATTTTGTGTCCTATGTCCTGTGTTCTGTGTTGTCTGGGCTATGTCCTGTGTCCTGTAGCCTGTGGTCTCTGTGCTGTAGCCTGTGTCCTGTGGCCTATGTCCTGTGTCTTGAGTCCTGTAGCCTGTGTCTTATGTCCTGTGTTCTGGGTCCTGTATCCTATGTATTGTGTCCAGTAGTCTGTGATAAGTCACAGGACACAGGCTACAGGACACAGGTCACAGGCTACAGGACAGAGGATACAAGACACAGGCTACAGGACAGAGGCCACAGTCTACATGACAGAGGACACAGGCTACAGGACACAGGACATAGCCCAGACGACACAGGACACAGGATATAGGACATAGGATATGGAACCCAGGACACAGCCTAGAGGACACAGCCTACGGGACACAGATTGCAGGACACAGGACATAGGCGACAAGCTACAGGACACAGGACAGAGGCTACAGGACACAGGACACAGGCTCCTCAATCTAGGCCACAGGCCACAGGCCACAGGACAGTGGCTACAGGACACAGGCTATAGGACACTCTATCCTACAGCCAGTGTCTGGTGTCTTGTTCCCTCTTTCCTTCAGCCTGTGTTGTGTAGCATGTGTCAGTGTCCTGTAGCTTACGGCCTGTATCCTTTGTTCTGTAGTTCTGTCCTGTGTCCCATAGCCTCTGTCCTGGAGCCTCTGTCCTGTGACCTGTGTCCTATGTTTATAGCCTGTGTCCTGAGTCCTGTAGCCTGTCCCTGTGTCCTGTAGCCTGTGTCCTTGTCTGTAGCCTGTAACCTGTGTCCCATAGCCTGTGTCCTGTGTTTGGTATTCTGTGTCCTATATCCTGTGTCCCATATCATCTGGGCTATGTCCTGTGTCCTGTAGCCTGTGGCCTCTGTGCTGCAGCCTGTGTCCTGTGGTCTATGTCCTGTGTCTTGAGTCCTGTAGCCTATGTCTTCTGTCCTGTGTTCGGGGTCCTGTAGCCAGTGTATTGTGTCTGATAGTCTATTTCCTTTGTCCTTTTTACTATAGCCTATGTCCTGTATCCTGTGTGATGTCGCTGTGTCCTGTGCTTTAGCCTCTGTCCTGTGTATGTGTCCTGTGTCCTATGTCTTGTATCCTGTGTTCTATATCCTGTGATCTATAGGCTATAACCTTGTTCCGTAGCCTGTGTTCTAGCCTGTGTCCTGAGTGGTTCTCTCACACTGTGTGGTCTAGCCTGTGTCCTGTGTCGTGTAGTCTGTGGCCTCTGTGTTGTGTCGTTTATCTTTGTCTTGTAGTCTGTGGCCTATGTCCTTTTGTCTATATCCTGTATCCTGTATCCTGTGTTCTATGTTGTGTAGCCTGTGTCCTATGTCTTGTAGCCTCAAGCCTATGTATCCAACCTGTGTTCTGTGGCCTCTGTCGTCTAGCTGGTGTCCTGTGTCCTGAGCCAGTGTCCTGTGTCCTGAGCTGTGGCCTGTAGTCTTTGTCCTAGGGCTGACTTCCTCTCTGCTGTAGCCTGTGTACTGTATACTGAAGCCGGTGTCTTGTACCTGTGGACAATGTCCTGTAGTATGTGTCTTGTGTCCTATGTCCTGTGTCCTGTGGCCTATGTCCTGTGTCTTGTGTCCCATAGCCTGTGTCTTATGTCCTGTGTTCTGTGTCCTGTAGCCTGTGTCCTGTGTCCCATAGCCTGTGTCTAATGTCCTGTGCTCTGTGTCCTGTAGCCTGTGTCCTGTGTCCCATAGCCTGTGTCTTATGTCCTGTGTTCTGTGTCCTGTGGCCTTGTCCTGTGTCTTGTGTCCCATAGCCTGTATCTTATGTCCTGTGTCCTGTGTCCCATAGCCTGTGTCCTGTGTCCCATAGTCTGTGTCTTGTAGCCTCTCTTCTGTGCCCTGTATCCTGTGTCCTATGTCCTGTAGCCTGTGTTCTGTAGCCTGTGTCCTTTCTCCTGGATCCTGTGTTCTGTAGCGTGCAACCTATGTCACATAGCCTGTGTTCTAGCCTGTGTCATGGGTTCTGTATTCTGTGTCCTCTATCCTGTGTCCTGTGTCCACTGCCCTATGCCCTGAATCCTGTAGACTGTGGCCTTTGCTTTGGGCCTCTGTCTTGTGTCCTGTAACCTGTGTTCTGTAGCCTACATCCAATATCCTGCACAACAGCATACAGCACAGTGGACACAGGACAAAGGCCACAGCTGCAGGACATAGGCCACGGACTACAGGACACAGGCTACACAAGACAAGACAGAGGCCACAGGCCACAGGAGCTAGGATCCAGAGCACAGGGCACAGGCTACAGGCTACAGGACACAGAATACAGGACATTGTCACAGGCTACAAGAAACCGGCTTCAGTACACAGGACACTGGCTACTACAAAGAGACACCAGCTCTAGGACAAAGACTACAGGCCACAGGCTATAGGACACACGACACAGGCTCAGGACACAGACTACAGGACACTCGACACAGGCTCAGGACACAGGCTCAATACACGGGACACAGGCTAGGGGACATAGGACACCAGCTAGAGGACAGAGACCACAGGACACAGGTTGCATACATAGGCCACAGGCTACAAGACACTGGACACAGGCTACACAACATAGGACACGGGACACAGGACTGAGGCTACAGGACACAGAATATGGAACACATGACACAGCTACAGAACACAGATCACAGGATACAAGACATGGGACACAGAGGATAGGATATAACCTATAGGACAAAGGACAGAGGAAACAGACTATCAGACATAATACAAAGGCTACAGGACACTGAACACAGGACATAAGACACAGGCTACAGGACACAAGACACAGGATATGGGCCACAGGAAATAAGCTACAGGACACAAGACACAGGCAACATGACACAGGCTAAAGGACAGAGGGAACAAGACACAGGACACCAGCTAGAGGACAGAGGCAACACTACACTGGACACAGGACATAGGCCACAGGACACATGCAGAAAGAAACAGGCCAGTGGACACAGGCTACAGGACAAAGGACACAGGCTATAGGACACATGCTATAGGACACAGGCAATGGGACACTGTCTACAGGACAAGGACACAGGCCACATGAAAAGGCTAATGGACATAGGACACAGGATAGAGGACACAGGCTACAGCACACAAGCTACACTCTATAGGACAAGCTATAGGTCACAAGTTATAGGAAAGAAGACAGAAGCCACAGGACACACACACTAGCCACAAAACAGGACACAGGACACAGGCTACAGGACACAGGCTGTAGAACATAGGACACAGGATACAGGCCACAGGACACACGCCTACAACACAACACACAGGCTACAAGATACAGGCTACACAACATAGAACACAGGCGAAAGGACTCAGGCTACAGGACACAGGACAGATTTCAGGACACAGGTCACAGGCCACAGGACATAGGCTCCAGAGCACAGGCAGGGCCCTGGCCATGCTTCAGTGACATGCCCCACTCTCCTCCTTGCCCTCCAGAGCCATGATCCCCTCAGGCAGGGCCCTGGCAACCCTCTGGGGCTGGGCTCCTTCTCCTCTCCATGCCCTACAGAGCCAGGCCCTGCTCCCTTCAGTTGTGGCACTAGACACCCAGCAGGGCTGCCCCACTCTCCTTGTCCTCCAGGGCCTGGGCCCCACTCCCCTAGTTGCCCACCAGGGCCTGGGCCCAGCTCCCATTGCTGTCCTTCAGGGCCAGGCCCTGCTCCCCTCACCACATTCCAGGGCTGGGCCCCAATCCCCTCCTCAGCCTGCAGGGTCGGGCCCTTCTCCCCTCAGGCCCGGCCCTGGCCTCCCTCCAGGGCCAAACTCTGCTCCCCTCCTCACCTCCAGGGCCAGTGTTCCCCTCCTCATGCTCCAGGGCTGGCACTGTCGCTCCCCGTCTTCATGGAGGAACGACACAGGACCCTGCGCTGTTCTTTTGTCTGCTCGGCCCTGCCCGGGTTTGCTGCTGGTTCTTCCCGGGGTGGCTACCGACCCTTCCACCTCCGTGGAAGGGCGGTTCCCCCTGCCACATTCCCCACTTCCGCGGGGGAGCGGCACACCGCCGGCCGGCTCTCTTGGGGGCTGCACAGGTGTTCCTTCAGATAGATGTTCCCCTTAGATGTTCCTGGTGCATGTTGTCTCTCTCCTCCTTTATAGTCCTCTTCCACCAATCCCAACTCTGCTACCCACATGCCGAGTATGCTGCTCTCCTCCAATCAGGAGCAAGATCAGCTCCTGCAGCTCAGTCAATCAAGTTGGTGAGAGGCAGCTGGGTAGAAGCTGTTTGCTCCTCTCCCAGCGCCATATTGTGGGAGAGCAGATGTATAGAATAACTCTTAAATCCAGTAACAGTATAGTCCAATTTGCTCCCCACAGGCACCAATCTCCTCCTCGCACTCTTGGTCTGGCTCTGCTCCCCTCCTCCCCATCCACAGCCAGGCCCTTCTCCCCACAGGCCCATCCCTGTCCTCCCTCCAGAGCCAGACCCCGCTTCCCTCCACACCTTCAGGGCCAGCCCCTGCTCCACTCCTGGCCTTCCAGGGCCTGGGTCCCGTACCTCTCCTTGCCCTGCAGAACCTGGCACCCACTCCAACCTTCACACTCCAGAGCCTGGGCCCCACTTCAGGGCTTCCCTACAGGGACAGGCCACACTACCCTCAACACCCTCCATGGCCGGGCCCTGCTTGCCTCCTCGCCCTCCAAGGCCTGGGCCCACTCTGCTCGCCACCTTCCAGGGCTGGACCCTGCTCCCCTCCTTGAAAACAGAGCCTGGGCCCAGCTCCACTCACTGCCCTCCAAGGCTGGACCCTGTTCCCCTCCTCACCCTCCAGGGCCAGACCCTACTCTCCTCCTCGCCCTCCAGGGCTGGGCACCGCTCTCCTCTTCCCCCTCCAGGGCTGGGCCCCTCTCAGCACGCTGCTCTCTTGGGCCAGGCCCCACTAACCTCAACACCATCAGGGCCAAAACCTGCTCCCATCCTTGTCCTCCAGGACCTGGCCCAGCTGCCCTCCTCACCCTCCAGGGCCTTACCCTGCTCACCTCTTACCTTAAGTGGCTGGGCCTGGCTCCCATTACTGCCACTAAGTCACTGGTGTCACTCGGTGGTCCCTAGCAGCCACTGCCTCCATCTTTGTGCGCCCCTGCTGTCACTGCAGCATTGGGCAGCCCGCACGGTTCCCCAGCACCTGCCACTTCATGGCCTGCCTTGGCTGCCTCCTTCTGCTTCCTCAGGCACACCGAGTGAGGCCACATCTTTATGCCCCAGTGCAGCCACCAGGAGCCACCCGTCATGGGGCCCCCAGCACGGTCCCCAGCAGCCTCCCTGTGATTGCCCGAGGATTCTTCCTACTTCTTCTTGGGCTCCCCTGTGGTTATCTGGGCCCTCTTGTAACTCCCAGGACCCACCACACGGCCCCCAGGCCCCACCAGCTCCTTCCCTGGGCACTCCCACTGCCACTGAATCACTAGGTCACCACGTGGACCCCAGAAGATGCCTCCTCCTTCCTCACCCCCCCACAGCAGCTGAGTTTTAGGACCCCCCCATTCTCCGAGGAGTCGCTGAGTCTTTGAGGTTCGCGCTGCCCCTAGCAGTCATTGCCTCTGTCCTCCGGCACTCCTGCTGTCCCTGCATCATGTCTGAACTTGGAAATGAGGCTCTACAAAGGGGGTCTCAACTAACTCTCTTGTGGCCAAAGTTTGAGGGTGAGCAAGTGAAGAACTGTTGAATGTGCAGAGGGGGAATGTGGGTGTGGCCTGAGGATAGAAATTTTCCCTGGGAGTCACCTTCAGGAGCATGGCTCTGGGAAGGAATGACTTCCAACATGTTCTTTGGCAAAGAAAAACCTGGGCAGGAAAACGGAAAGCATGGGCACGAGTTAAGGTGCCAGGTGACTTCTTCCCAGACATGTGGGTCTGAGTTCTTTGGGGCACACAAGAAGGCAGCTCAATGGGAGAGGCCACCTCGGTCTGCAATGCAGGCTCCTCAGTGCAGATCTAGGAGCTCTAAGTTGTCGCAGGAGTGTCTCATCCAGGGACCTGGGAACTTGGGCTTGGAGAAGGAAACTCAGGGTGAGAAGACTTCCCAGGGCAGAGAGCCGCCTGAGCAGAGAGTGCAGGCAATAATCAAAGACAGAATAAAGTGGGAGGAGGACAAAGAGTGTCATCCAACGTGGGCCCTGTATCTTACAACCAGCATCCCACACCAATCGCTTTGAACTGGCTCGGAGACCTGGGGAACCTAAAAGATAAATGACCATGTAGAAGATCAGGGGTTCTCCAAACACCAGAGGAGCAGTCTGCCTTACTCACCTTTCCCATGGAGCTGAGTCCCTCCACGTCACGGCACCAACGATGCTGCAGGAAGTTCAAGTCAATTCTTTCTCTCACATAATCCCAACACGGATCATGAGGGTGAGGGAGAAAAAGCAAAATAGGTTTTCGTGAGAAAATCATACTCTTGCAAGCCAGAAGGGGGACTAAGGGAGGGGCCCAATAAGGTCTGGGTACAGGAAGTTTAACTAGGGAGTGATGTTCATGGATCAATTCTAAACAAAATCCAACTCCATGTTCCTCTATCTTAGGAAAAGGTAATGACCCCTAACCATGAAAACATGTTTCCTGATGGCCATCTGAAAAATGTAACACTATATATTCCCTCTCTGCCTGCAGTTTCTCTTACTGCCTCCTCACCTGCCCTCCTCCCAGACAGGAGTCCATGACTACCCTTCATTGCTTCACTCCTCAGGGAAGGGCCCCTCCTCGGGGGCATTTCCCAAGAGGCTACTGAGAGGCCACTTTCCTCTCTGGGCTCAAGGGCTTTCCTCTGGGGCTGGCAGGACACAACACATCCAGCCGAAGCATTGGATGATCCTCCTGCCAATCCCCAGGCGCCCCTTGCCCTTTCTGGCCTGCCTGTCTGTGGTCCCTGCCTCCTGCTCCTCCTCCTGCTGCTGCATTCCTGGGATGCTCTGCTCCTCTGAGGCACCCGGGGAGCAGCTCCTGACTTCTCCATCAGCCTCACTGCTGTTGGTGCTCAGTGTGGTGGAGAGAGAGGTCAGAGCATCCTGGCTGAGGACTGCACAGGCAGCGGGGCTCCTTGTCCACACGGCCCGTTGGGGACTGTCTGTCCGGCAGGACTCACTGCTGCTCACACTGGGAGTCCCATGGCGGCAAGGAGTCTGCCCCGACTGGTCTCCTGCAAGCACCAGTGGTTGGGATTCAAGAGCGGGACACTCACGGGCTCTGCTGTTGCAGCCTGAGTGTCCCTGGAGGCACTGGAGAGCGGGACAGCTCTGAGCACCAGGGATGGCCTGAGGCGTGGGCTTCCCTTTGCTGTGATCCTGCTGAAGTCCTGGGCACAAGGCACTGGCTGGGAGCCTGGGTGGCAGGGAGCCTGCTTGATGGCCCAGCTGGAATCCCAGGTCCTCCAGGGAGCTTAGGGCTTCAGGACCCTGAGGAGGTGCTGCAGGCTCCACTTGGCTCCGCCCATGTATTTCTGGGATGCTGAAGCCCTGCTGTTGGGAGATCCCCCAGCGTGGCACAGGGGGCCAGGGGTCATCCCATTCATGAAGCCACAGTGGAGGGCAGAGGCCCCATGGGAATTCCCAGACTTCCTGCTCCTGGGGAAGAAACAGAAACTCGTCACTGGTTCCAGGTGCTCCATGTCCTGCATGGAGCCAGGGGTGGCCCATGATGTCTGCCACTGTGGGCCTGGCCTCAGGGTCCCGGGTCAGTAAGCTGTCCACCAGGTTACACAGCTCTGGGTTTCCATAGTGGGGGATTCTGTAGTATCCAGACAGGATGGCTGCCCGCAGCTCCACAAAATCCTCTCCAACGAAAGGCAGTGAGCCTGCCACCATGGCGTACAGGATCACGCCCACACTCCAGGCATCAGCCTTGTACCCGCAGAACTCCTCACCTAAGAATTCCTCGGGCGCACAGTAGGCAAAGGTCCCGCACAGACTCTTCAGGCGCTCTCCACCAGCCAGTTTGCAGCTGAGACCAAAATCGCTCAACTTAATGTTTAGGTGGGCGTCGAGAAGCAGGTTTTCTAACTTTAAATCCCTGTGCACCACGTGCTGCGAATGGCAGTAATGCACAGCGGATAGAATTTGTTTCAATAGCTGACGAATCTCTCCATCCAGCAGGTACCCTCGTTCTACCATGTAACATCTAAGGTCCCCCCTGACTGCGTATTCCATGAAAAGGTAGCCCCTCTCTGTGGTGTGCCTGGCCTGCAGTAGTTGAATGATGTGAGGGTGATGCAGCCCCTTCATTATTTCTGCTTCTGTGCACAACTGCTGGAAGCTGCAGGAGTGCTGGCCACCATTCTCCACAACCTTCACAGCCACCTGGGTCCTGCTTTCCCAATGATAGGCCAGGACCACCAGCCCAAAACCGCCCTGGCCGAGGACCCTGAGGACCTGGTACCCATCCAGGACCTCCTCCTCACTGCTGAAGGCGGTGAGGCCTTCCATGGTGGGATCCCCACCCCACCCCCCACCCTGCACTCTGACACTGGGAACTCTTACTAGTCACCTAAAGTAATAACAAAAACAGGGAAACAAATAGAAATCAAACAAGCTAAATGGAAACCAAAATTAACAACTCAATATGTTAATATTTCTAATAGATAATGCTAACTCTATGAACTATGGTATACTAATCACTAACACTGTATGAAAATTAAGAATTAAAAGTTATAAAACACACAGAATACTAAAAATGGTGATGTAAAGCGACACCAACTATGGTAACTATGGTAACAATGCTAATCAATAAGTCTTATAACAGTCTTATCTAAATCAAAGGATCAAAAAATGAGAAAACAGTCAGAAAACGAGGAAACACAAGGAGGACAAAATCAACACAGCATCAAGTACATTTAGCCTGTGAAAGAAAAAACAAAAAATAAATAAATATTTACAGAAAATACACAAGCACACAATGTAAAAATGGGAGGGGGAGAGAAATTGACAAAATAGCAAAAAAAAAAAATAGAAGAAAAACTAAAAGAACCACTACGGTAAGGAGAACTAATAGACGAGACAAAACAACTACACAAATGACAAGACAAGGGGAAACCAGTGATGTCGTCCAATCCTTCAGGCAGTCTCCACAGAGCTTCCTGGGCCTACTGACCAGAACCGAGCCCAAGCAGGGAACTGTTAAGGCAGTTGGAATGACATCACAATGGCCCCCCTGAGGGCAGAGGAGGCTCTAGACCAATCACAGCTGGGGACACACCAGGCTGGTTTTCTCAAGAAACTTTCTACTTGGTTAAAGAGAAAGGACCCCAAAAGCTTTTGGCTTAAGTTGGTGGTGGAGATCGGTATTTAGGATTTGATAAATTAGCACAGTCCTCTTCAGGCTTTTTCTATTGTTTCCATACACGTATAGAAGCACTGATCCTCCCAGTCTCTATTTCCACCCCCATTCCCACCCCCTTTTTCATTTCCTCTTGGTTCCTGTCCATTAAAGATGTCCAGTAAGAGGAGTCAACTGCTCATCTTAGCCCAGGCAGGCTCAGCTCACTGTACCAAAAGATTTCCAAGCTCTGTCATGGCTTGAACAGATGGTGGCTCCCTCACTCATGTCTACGTTCATCACACACATATGTACTTGTATGTTAAAAAAAAACAAAAATAGAGGCATAAAGGTGTCCTTTTAGAGGAATTGAGCATTTGCAAACTGAGTTCTGGTGGTGCTGCCCACCATCAGCCTGCTGCTCTGTTTGTCTTCTGAAGGTGAAACACTGGGAGCACTCGGAGAGAATAGAAACAATGTTGCTGGAGACACTGCACAAACAAGCCAGGCTTCCTTCCCCATAGAACAGCAGGTTACAGCCTCAGCCTCACTCAGCCCCTGTCTTCCTCCTGAGGGAGGATTCCTGGGGAAGGTAAGGGACCTATTGTCGCTCCTCCAGGCTCCTGAGTTCTTAAAATGCAGACTGTGAAACGTGTTTATGAGATGTTCACAATGAAAGTGGTGTTGTTCTCACTCTTGCTCTCTCCATCCCCTTCTCTCCCCTTCCCTCCGTTTCTCCCCGCGGAAAGTATGTCTTTCAAATAGATTAATTACATTTTTAAGCTTTTGTTAATATTTATTTATTTATTTTTAAAGATTTTATTTATTTGAGAGGTAGCGTTACAGTTAGTGAGAGGGAAAGACAGACAGAGAGGCCTTCCATCCACTGGTTCACCCCCCCGATGGCTGCAATGGCCAGAGCCGCGCTGATCAGGAGCCAGGAGCTCCCTCCCGGTCCCCCCCATGGGTGCCTTCGGATGCCCTCACCCACGTGCCCGGCCTGAGTCCCGGCTGCTCGGCTCCGAGGCAGCTTCCTGCTAATGCACCTGGGGTGCTCCCAGGCATGGTCACGCAGGAGTCTCAGACGAGGCCCTGGCTCCAGCCTGGCCCAGCCCCGCACATATCCGGGGAGGGCACCAGCGGATGGAAGGTCAATTGCTCTCCTTCTGTGCTGCAGCGTCAGCGGGCTGGTGGAGCAGGGAGGTGCTACGGGGCCAACAGAGCGGGGAGCACGAAGAAGGGCAACAGGGAGCCCCCCAGAGCAGTGCAGGGTACAGGGCCCCCCAGAGCAGTGCAGGGAGCCCGAGGGGGGCCGGGCCGCTGTCCCCCAGAGAAAGTGGAGGGTGCAGGGAGCCTGAGGGGGGCCGGCAGGGTGCAGGGAGCCCCCCCAGAGCAGTGCAGGGAGCAGGGCCCCCCAAAGCAGTGCAGGGCCCAGCACCAGACAGGGTTCAGGGGAGCAGAGACTTCCTCAAGTTGCCCTATAGGATCAAAAACAGCCTGCAGACCAGGCCTCCCTGGTGTAGACCAATCCCTCTGGGATGTAGAACAGCCCTCCCGGGTGTAGACCAGGCCTCCCAGGTGTAGACCAGGTCTCCCAGGTGTAGAACAAGCCCTCTGGGATGTAGACCAGACCTTCCAGATGTAGACCAGGCCTCCCGGGTATAGACCAGACCTCCAGGTGTAGACAAGGCCTCCCAGGTGTAGACCAAGCCCTCTGGGATGTAGACCAGCCCTCCTGGAGTCTAGACCATGCCTCCCAGGGTGTAGACCTGTAGCCAGGCCTCCCAGCGTGTAGATGAAGCCCTCCCAGATGTAGACCAGGCCTCCCGGGTGTAGGCCATGCGTCCCAGGTGTTGACTTGTAGACTAGCCCTCCTGGGTGTAGACCAGGCCTCCCAAGGTCTAGACCTGTAGACCACCCTCCCGGGGTCTAGACCAGGCCACCGCAGTCTCCGAACTCACATCCAAGCCCCTCGCAGGACCTGCTGGTGCAGCTAGGAAGGGAAACCCGTTCTAGATGAGGAGCTCCTGGGACAGAGCCGCCGCTCACACGCTGCACCCCTGCAGGCCAGAGAATACCAGATGACAGCACCCCCACCACATGGCAGAGCTGTGGCTCACACGCTGCGCCCCTGCAGGCCAGAGGATTGCAGAGGACAGCACGCCCACCACGTGGCAGAGCTGTGGCTCACACACTGCACCCCTGCAGGCCAGAGGATAGCAGAGGACAGCATGCTCGCCTCATGGCAGAGCTGTGGCTCACACCTGCCCCATGTGGCAGCTTCATGGGCCACCACGGCACCTCCAGCCACCGCTCACTGAGCCTCCTGCCATTGCATGTCACATTCCGCAGCAGGGGGCGTGGCTTGGCCCAGGCCATGGGATGCCTGGAACCCTTCCTCCTGTAGCTGACTCCTGGAAGGGGTGGGGAGATGTCACACCCTGTCAGTCTCGTAGCAGGCCTGACTAGTGTGAGGTCAACACGGGGTCACTGGGATGTCCTCTGAGACACTGTCCCTTTCGGCGTGGTGTGGGCAGGAGTGAGCACAGGCCCTGGGCAGGACAAGGGGAACTGCTGGCCTCCCAGGGAGCACCCGGCTCCAGTTCTCTCGTGCGGGGACAGCCCAGTTGTCCTACCCCAGGACTCAGGGCTCCCACTCGACACGTGCCGGCACTGGCACTCACAGTTGCACCACAGAGCCTCTGAGGGAGCAAGGAGGGTGCCGGGCTTAGGCCGGACACAGGAGCAGGGCCTCCCATGGCGGCACGGAGACCGGGGTGGCTGGGACTGCTGCCCACCTGCGGTGGCCTCCCCACACGTGTGCTGACCTCCGAACCCTCTGTCACACTAGCAGCTAAAGGGACGGTGGTGCAGGTATGGTGCAGGGCCCCGACCCAGTCCTGGTGTACGAAGGCTTCTACAGAGAGGGTGGCCGGATTGGGTGGCCAGGTGGTCCGGCTGCAGGAAACCAGAGGGCAGAGGACCTGCTGCTGTCTGTGCTGCCTGACATGGCCTGGGCCCTTCCTCCTGGGGGATGGCCATGGTTGACCAGTGCCAGGCACACGTGGCAAGGCCCTGCCTACAAGCCAGCCACAGTCAGCCTGGGGGCCACCTGCTCCCGCGTGCACACCTACTGCGATTGGGGTGTTGTTTCTGGGCTCGCTGAGGCACGCAGGATCCGTCCCCAAGAGCCCCAGGCTCCATCGCAGTGGATGGGCGCAGCCCAAGGCCAGCTCAGTGGCAAGCTCCCCAGGGCCCGGGACTTTCTCCGGTGTTGGCCTCTGTGTGACAGCTCCTGTGTCGGTTACTCCAGATGAGCCCTGCCCTGCGGGTGGCCCTCCCACTCCCATCCCGGGAATGGTATCCTCCCATGGACGTCACTGCGGCCTCTGCCTGCTGGGGTCACTCATCCACTGCACCCCTGACCCTGCTGCACCACCCAGGCTCTGCGCTTCAAGACCTTGCGTCCTAGCTGGGACCTCCTTTGTGGGGTGGCAGTCCCCGTCCCTGCCTCTCCCAGCCCCGCACCCAGCCTCCCCCAGCCCCCGGCCCTGCATCTCCCTGCCTCTGCCAGCCCCACCCACAGGAACTGAAAGGCAGCGACGGCCCCCAGGCTCTGCCTCCACACAGTGCTACACGACCCCACCGTGGACAGACACGCGTGGCCACATGGACAGACACGACAGGATCAGTGAAGGAAGCCTGGCACAGAAGCCAGCAGGCTCCTCTCCCGCGAAACATCCGCGGCAGGAGGCAGAGCGGTGCGGCCAGGACTGAGGGGCTGGGGTCCCAGTGGGCTCATGCTCCTCCTGGTGGGAGTGGAGGTCCAGGAGCCGGAAGGCACCCAGCAGCTGAGTCCTCCCTGTGGCGACTGTGAACCCCACACAGCGGGTGGCTCACTCTAGAAAAACCTCCCGCCCATCCCCTCTGCCCCTGGATGCGGTTCCGGTGCTCACGCCAGAGCCAGCCAAGCCTGTACGCGCCCCCAGTCTGGCTCAGGTAAGCGAAGCACAGGAAGGCTTGGCAGAGCCGTGGTTCCCCCCCATGACTTCACTCCTGCCTGTCCACACTACCACGTGAGCAATCCCATGAGTTCCCACCATCCTGAGTTTCCCCTGGCAAAAATAAGCAGGTATGTGAACTGCTTCTTTATCAAAAAGATTTATGTTTATTTCCTTTACTTGAAAG